CCGAATTAGTGTCTTGATGTTCTGCAGAATTTTGACTGTCGCGCGGCCTGCCGCGGCACGCCGTTCTTTGATCTTGACCGCATTCACTCGCAATTGGCACGTGTTGAATGTGTTGATAACCAAGGTAAATTTTCGTTGTGACCTATCTCTCCATTTTTACGCCCGTAGCTTACTATGTAACTTAAAGCGGGAAAACATGCACTTTTCACTCTTTTCACACTTATTTTATTTATTTTTTATTTATTAATTTATTAATTAACTCTTTTTATTGTTTATTTATTTATTTATTTTTTTGATTTTCTTTTGCACTTGTATTCGATTGACTTTAACACTTTCACACGCGCCTGAAGAGCGCTGATTTACTACAACTTCTTGCCTCGACGTGTATAACGAGACTGGGAACTCAACTTTTCAATTGTGTAGGGAGAAAAATACTTTTTAAGCGTATAATAATATCTATATTATAACACTCAAGTCTATAATAGTATATTAGAGAACTAATGTCATAAGACGTCATTTTGTCGCACGCGGACAATTTATAAAACGAGCGACGAAGGAGCGAGTTTTGTAATGGTTGAGTGCGACAAAAGGTCTTATGACATGAGTTCTTTATGCTATTTTATCTACTTTGCAAAAATTCTATAAAAAAATTAATTTTATACCTTAAATTTAATTTGGTCGAATTTTACTTTAGATAGTTGGTATCACAGTCATTGGTTTGACAGTTAATGTCAAAATCGATTCGCCATGCCGTCCTTAATTTACTTAAGTATTTACAATAAGCGGCTATTAATGTTAAAGAAGAAAACAAGGATTTTCTTTATTGCCAAAAAAGTCTCGTAAGTACTATAAAAATCCTAAAAATATTATAAGTTATAATTTATAACCAATATGCAATAAGCAATTTTTGAGTAACGCGTTAAACGTGTTCGCATTAATTCAGGAAATATATTTGTGGTTACCGAGTATACCATTTTGCTAGCATATGACAGGTGCTGGCAAAAGGGTATACCCGCTAACCATAAATGTGGGTGACATTCACAATATCGAAATTCATTATATCGAATTCAAAATATCGAACACTTTTTATCGAAAATCAAAATATCGAAAATACAAAATGTCGAAAGTCAAAATATCGAAAATTCAAAATGTCGAAATGAAAATATCGAAATTTTATTTAATCGAATTTTTAATTTATCGAAAATAAAATCTCGACCGCTGTCATACAGGTTATGACGAATAGCTGTCATCTTGGTTATGCAGGTACACTGCATTGTGCCATACCAAACCAACCCAAACTTAACAACCCAACCCAACCGACCCCGCCCCATTGGGCCCCTCCCGCCCCATTGAGCAATAGAGGTATAATATATCTAAGGGCAGGCTGGATTGTGACAATGGGGCGGGAGGGGCCCAATGGGGCGGGGTCGGTTGGGTTGGGTTGTTAAGTTTGGGTTAGTTTGGTATGGCACAATGCAGTGTACCTGCATAACCAAAATGACAGCTATTCGTCATAACCTTGAGGAATACTTTGCTACATTTAGCCTCTAGTTGAAAATGAGGTTAAAATATGCGACGGTTGAGCACACACATTTCTACGTCCGTCCGACGGTCGAGCACACACTTTTATACGTCCGTCCGACGGTCGGGGAGACACTACCTTTAATTATTCGACATTTTCAAATCGACATTTTAATTTTCGATATTATCATTTTCGACATTTAGAATTTTCGATATTTTGATCTTCGACATTTTGTATTTTCGATATTTTGATTTTCGATAAAAAGTGTTCGATATTTTGAATTCGATAAAATGAATTTCGATATTGTGAATGTCACCCCATAAATGTATTTCCTAAATTAATCCGAACACGTTTAAGGCTCTACTGAAAAATTGCTAGTTTTGACTTATCCCCTTATGCCTTTTACCTACAGAAGTATCTCATTACAGCACCGAAAGCGGTGTTATAATGAAGTCATTATGAACGCAAAATAGATAATAGTATATTAAGTATCAAGTTTGATAAATGCCATTTTATACACGAATTTAATTTAGGCACGAGCGAGCTTGCGACTGCTTAAATTAATGAGTGTATAGAAAAGTTTATAAACGAGGTGCATACCTACTATACTTTTTCTACGACAAATACTTATAATTATCTTAAAATGATTTAAATCAAAAATTTGTATAGAGCGCCATCTATGAAACAATAGGGGAATCTGTGTGTCACCGTCAAATGTCAATTTTTTTTATTTTATAAACACAATTATAAAAGTTATAAATCGAAATGTATTTCTTGAAAATTGACAGTTTTTCACAGTGAAAGTAAAGAAAATGTTTTATGAGGACTGTACAGTGGAGTCCGTGCCCGAATTTAAGTTATAGTTTACTGCCGGCGAAATTAAAAGGTCAGTACAATGTTCATATAAACTTTTCAAATATTGGCGTTGAGAAACTATTTAATACTTTTGTATTTTTGTATTGAGATAATAAAATAATTTTAACATTTAGTATTATTTTACAAGAAAGGCACTTTATTTTAACGATTGTACGAGGGTTGCCTTTTATATTTCGGGAATAGAGAAAACAAACAACAATTAATCATCGTACATGGCTTTATTGTTTTTCAAAATATTCTCCATGAAGATTGACACACTTTTGCATGCACTTGAACCAATTTTTGAAGCATTTTTTTCACTCCGATTGAGGCACCTCCAAAACATGCATTTTGAACGCATCAACCGCTTCTAAAGACCCACACAGTCGAATGCTGTTTACTTTCAGGTTCATACGCATAGATCCATGATTCGTCACCTGTTACAATGTCATGAACATGTTTTGAAGCACCGCCATCGTATTTTTTAAGCATTTCTTTTGACCACTAGACCTGAGCCCTTTTTTGATCGATTGTCAAATTATGTGGGATCCAACGGTAACAATTTTTTTTAAAGGCCAAATGTTCATTTAATATTGAATGTATGCTGGTCCCACTAATGCCCAAGGATGACCCAATCTCACGATATGTCACATGATGATCTTGCATTACCAGTTCACGCACCACATCAACGTTTTTTTGCAAGAACGAGTGATTTTGTAATATTTGTTACGATGATAACAGCCGAGTGGTGGCGCTACTAGCGATACTTCTTTAGCGTATAAGTGGCCGAAACGTTTCGGCCACTTATACTTAATCGTACGTTTCATCCACTAAAAATGCTACTTGGGATTTGTAGATTATTGAATACTATTGAAAATTATATAAAAATTATAAATAAACATTTTTGTAGAAATTTGATAGTGTGAATTGACGTTAATTGTATAGTTGTCACTGTCAGTTTTTTGTTTTTTGGTTAAGTTTTCTGACATTCTTTTTAGTTTGTCGGACCTCTACTCATTCTGCTAAAGCAAGTGTGTGATTGGCAACTTTATTTAATTAATAACTAATTAAAGGCCAGTCAGATCGAAAATCGCCAAAGGACTTTTTGTCTTCTTCTTGGCTCTACTATACTCTCTAGAAATATTTTACCTTTTTTTTAATACCCTGTACAGTTTTATAAATGGCGTGAGTGAACTTTTTAGACGATATGGGCCTAATTTTAAGTACTGGACAGTAACCTCAGTGGACGTAAAACGTTTATTTACAATCTATAATAGTTATTTACGTGTCAAGCTTTGTAAATGAATCTTTACGGGCGAGCTGAAAGTTTGTGGGGTGAGCGATGCAGGAGCGAACCCCTTAATACAGTGAGCCTAGTAAAGATTAATTGCAAAGCGTGACACGTACAAACTTTTATTTTCACCTTTAGATAAAGATTTTCAAATTTAAAATTTTAATTAATATGTCAAATGTGACATTTCATTTTATAAATTGCTTTTCTACAAGCCTGTAAAACTTTACAGGTCTTTTATACAAGCCCGTAAAATATTACAGGTCTGTTCCCATAATGTATCTTTTACTTGGATACAAAAACAACAAAATTAACCTATAAAATGTCATTTACTAAGAAGGTGGAAATAAAAACATTTTAACCGATAGAAGGCACATCTTTATAGGCGTATTCAATGAATACTATTCATGCTTACTTAAAATAAGAAATAAGAAAATTAGGAATAAGAATTAAGATCGCGATTGATCGGACATGCTGATATCATAAAAAGGTAAAAAATGTTGTCACCATTTAGTTGCGGGAGCTGTAATGATGGCAGTGAGTGTACATGGTTATCTGTATTTTAGTTATTATTGATGAAAATCATAGATGTCGCATTACAATATGTCAATATAGTCTTTGTCACTTTACCTACATAAATTTGTCAGTAACACGAAACACTATTATATTTTATTATAGTAGGTTATGTATTGACTATAAACGTAAACAAACCACAGCGACACTCAACGCGATATGGCCAACTAAGTGTTTTATTCTTCTGCGCAGTTTTATACTAAAAAATAAGAGCCAAAGTTAAAAGTTATTTATCTTGCTTATTTCTTATTTTCATGAACATTACTTTACACCGTTTCAACTTTTTATTCTTATTTTAAGTGAGCAGGAATACGCCTTATAACATACAATTGGTAAAGAGAAAACATTTTGAAAAAACCTAAAATATTGTCAAAACCAAAAATCCTTATAACTTCGTTATTCCTTAAAAGGTTTACTGTAAACTTACACATTTATCTACATTTTTATCCAATGTCTTGCTACTATATTTTCAATATAGTGGCCATAGAAAAAACAAAAGGGAGTGGTGGTAACTAGTAGGTGAAAAAAATCACTAATTGCATAAAAATATGAATGTTTACATGTTAAACTTACTTTATTTAAAATTCCCAGGAATAATGAAGTTATAACAATTTTTTGGTTTTGACAGGTTATTAGTTTCTTCAAATTATTTGAAACCACTGATTTTTTACCAATTTTCAAATGCCACTTAAATAAAAACTTGTAATTACGTAACATAGGTATATATTATAATTTTTATTCTTGTTTTTTTCTTTTAAGGCGAAAAAAGATTCTGCTGCAACCAGTGCGGCAACTCGTTCGCGCACCGCACCTCTCTGACGTTGCACCTTCGTTGGCACGAGGGTCATCGGCCGTACAAGTGCGATGTGTGCGCCAAGTGTTTCTCGCAAAAAGGCAACCTCGCGGAGCACATGCGCACACACACCGGGGAGAAACCGTTCGTTTGCTCGGTGTGTTCAAAATCATTTACCACGTCATCGCAGCTGAAGCTGCACGCGAAGCTGCACACCGGCGAGAAGCCGCATAGCTGCGAGCTGTGCCAGAAACGGTTCTTGCACAAGTCGACCTACAAGGCGCATCTCAGGAGGCATGTCAACGATAAGCCGTATGTTTGCAAGTAAGTAAAATATTTTACAGCATTCCAATAATTAAAAAAACAAAAAAATTAAATAAATTATACGTTTAAGTTTTGTAATTAAAATTTGTTCCAAATTAAATTAAACGGCAAAACCAAAAATGTTTATTACATCCACACAATATTTTTTAAATAATTTGTACAAAATACTTTTTACTTAATTTTCCACACTGAGAAAAAAATGGGACAAATAAACTGTTTACCTAATACTTTTATTTGTAGTGAATATATTGTTTATTACCTCTAAATAGTCGAAATAATAACGATAAATATACTTTAGTAAAACTTTATATGTCGGGAATAAAAATATATTTAGGATAAATAAACTGTACCCTTGTCCCATATTTAAATATTTTTTTTATTTGGGAGCAATAAACTTTTTTCTCCGTGCAGTATTTTGTTTTCAAAATAGAAAAAAAATCGATTTACAAAAAAAACAAATTAACCCTTTCTGTAGTACAAAATTAAAATGGATTTATGTACAAAATTAAAATGGATTTATACAGGGTGTCACCTAATAAATTGTCATCCTCTGGGGGGATGATAGTACACGCCAAAACAAGAAAGTTTCTTCTCTATCATTTTTGCATTATAGGCACTGTTTTTTAATAAAAAAATATGTAATTTTTTTGACAAAACCAGGGACCCACTGGATGTCACTGACCTATCCAACATATCATTTTTTTTTTTAGATTTTATTAACTTTTATTCTTTTCAAGACTATTTAGCCAGCTCATGATATTTATTTTTTGTTTAATAAACAACTACAACACCCAAGGCTGTGACCGGGAATCAAACCCGGTACCGTTAGACGCAGATTGCTTACAGCTCTGTAGCTCAACCCACTGCGCCATCCTCCGCCCCATATATCATAATTGTTTTTACCTCGTAAAACAATGATATTATTTATCCAAGCAAAAAAGAAACCGGTATGCGCACAGTGTATTATGTAATATCAAGCAACTTTATTTAAAATCGGTTAGTAGGTACTTTGACAGGGCTGGATGCTCCCGTGTACGAGTTTTGGTTCGTGCCGCGCATGACGTCACTTGATGAGTAGTTGCCGTGCGAATACACGAATAATAGTAATATTATCAAAGAAAATAGAGAAATATCTGGACATACTGCGTTTTTGTGAAACTTAATATTAAAGAAAGTGTTATAATATGGATAATATATGCTTTCAGTTCTTGATAATATTTAGGGCTGTAGTTTAAGCGTTGGTGTTTTAAATTAAACTTATAGTCACTGTCCAGAAAACGTTTATAGGAAACGAAAGCGGTCTTAACGTTAATATTGTCTATTCTTTTTGTGGCATTTAACCACTGTTTGTACAAATCAAAGTTTTTGGGAATCGATAAAATTTAATGTTTTTATTTAAAGGGTTTTTCTTGGACTGGTTGTCCGAATTGCATGAAAATATGTCACACCGCATTTTAATTAATGCAAACTAAAACACAAAAAAAACAAGTTAACGCAACACAAAAACAATAATAAACAAACAGAACAGGTTAACACAACGCAATAACAATAATTTGAACAGTAATTCCAACCTTACCGAACGCAAAAACAACAAGTTAAACAAAAAAATAGAGCAAGTATAATATATAATTGAACATTTATTATTATATTGTGAAACACTTAAAAAAACCTCAAACCTCAAAATAGCTGAGTATGCAAAACAAAAAACAATTATCAACAAAGTAATCAATGATAACACAATTGTAAATTTGTAATGAATGTTTTCAGGCCAAAATTTCTACTCTACTTATAAAAATTTTAATGATTTTTTTAATAAAAAAATAACACTAATGCAAAAATGATAGAGGAAAAACTTTCCATCATCCCCTTAAAGGATAGAAGTGTCTACAGACCATTCTTCACAAAGGCTTTCGATTCCGCACATGCGCTTTGGTTAATAGCTGATCTACTGTCAGAAGTCAAAAAGTGTTGTTATCATCATGGTGGGTATTTTGTTTGTTTTATCTATAATTTAAATAAATATAAATTATTTAATGTTCAAAATTTATAAAATGTATCTAGCCTTACATATATTATATCTCTATTGACCAATGGGACGGGGGGGGGCAATGGGGCGGGGTCGGTTGGGTTGTGTTGTTGAGTTTGGGTTGGTTTTGGTTGGTTTCGCTCACTTTTGCCCATTTTAGTTGATTAACAGTAGATCAGCTGATGAACCAAAGCGCATGTGCGGGATCGAAAGCCTTTGTGCAGTATGGTCTGTAGACTCTAGTTTATATCCTTTTTCTATGGTTTAAAGGATGAGTTACACTTCGCTTCTGAAGATGCCAATATCGTTGGAGAAAAGTACTTTAGGCACTTTGTGTTTTGTTTTGGTGTTGGGGAATATTTCTAATATTTGTTTAATTAAATCTGAGAAAAAAAACAGGATAAAAGATCTACCTATAGTAAAAAAAATACTATGGAAAAAAATAATCAAATATCCAACTAAAATATTAAGGAAAATTAAAAAAATATAAAATCAAACATGAAGCTGGTCGAGTTTAACTTTTGTATATTTAAACATTTTTGGAACATTGCTTAAATAGTATATTATGTATTAAGTTTTATAAACGCCATTTTAGTTCCGAGTTTTAGTAGACACGAGCGAAGCTGTTTAGTAAAAACGAGTGTCTTAAGAAGTTTATAAAACGAGTCGCATACTATACTTTATGTACATATGACGAACACAAAGAAGAATTTAAAGCCAATTTTATTTGTTTAACATTTGACATCTATCAACTGTCAACAAATTTAACCGCACTTTTTCCCAATTTATAACAAGCTAGTTTGATAAACGCCATTTTAGACGAATTTAATTTAATTTAATTCAGCCCATTTGCCCAAGTTATTTATTGAGGGTCTAGAAATGTTTATAATCGAGTTGCATACTATACTTTTTCTACAACAAATACTTACTATTATCTAAAAATGAAAATTAAATATTTGTATAGAGCGACATCTATAAAACAATAGGGTAATCTGTGTTGCCGTCAAATGTCAAATTTTTATGTGTTATAAATCGAAATGTATCCCTTGAAATGGATTAACGGTTTTTCACAGTGAAAGTGTAGTAGTTTACTGCCGGCAAAATTAAAATGTCAATACAATGTTCATATAAACTTATATTGTCGTTAAGAAACTATTTAATTCTTTTGTATTTTTGTATTGAGATAATAAAATAATTTTCACATAGCGGAGCTAATCCCGAACTAATTCCGGACATCCTAGGCATGCGCTTTTTAAAATTTGGGGTTAAAAATTTAAAGTGCGCATGACAAATCACCCTAATATAACAAGGTTGTATGTTAAAAAAAACGAAAAATTTAAGTCTTTGTTTCTATAGGATTATACGTGGCCTACGCTTCACATACCACTTAAAAATAATTCTATAGAATGTATATTCTATGTATACCAGTGATAGGTCCAACCCGCACATTCTTGTGTGCTAGAACACGTTGCACAGCACACTACAGTGTGAGGCACTGTGCGTGTCGTACATTTGTGCGGGGTAGAGGAAAATGATTCAAATTGAGAATCTTACACGTTGCACAGCCCAGCACACTGCGCGTGTCGTATCCAACTGTCGGTTTTGGATTTTTAATTGATGTAAAATCCAGTTTTATGTTTTTTTATGTTTATTATTAAAGTCGATTTTAATATAATTATAATATAGACTGTGTTGCCATCTATGTGTTCTGTGCTGAATCATAGAGTCAAAGCCACAGACGTAAAAATTCTTTCCCTGCTTAAAATACCCCATAGAGACCCTGTTCAAACCGATAGATATTTGTATCGGGATGTATGGTGTTTCTATAGGGTGTATCGGTTTGTATAGGACCCATAGTTGAGATTTATGGTTGTTCTATAGGGATATCCACCATTGATTTATTTGCTATCGGTTTCAATGGGGAAAATACACATAAATGTAGAAATTAGTTTTTTCCCTATAGGACCCCATAGGTTTTAATAAAATTTTGTCAAATGTTTTATGGTTGCTCTATAGGGATATCCCTATATATCCTTCATTGAGGTATTTTCTATCGGTCTCAATAGGAAAAATGTAAAAGTTATGGTGTGCCTATAGGTAATTTCCTATACATTTTCTATCGGGCTGTATCCGGAAAAAAACATGGACAAATGCACATATTGAATCCGGTAGTGCCCGATAGATTATTTTGTATAGGTCTCTATGGGGTATTTTAAGCAGGGTTAGTAAAGAGCCATAGGTTAGATAAAGAGCTGTTTCGGCGCACCGTGCCACATATGAGAAAGGTGCCTTTTTGTATCTCTGGGTGCTTTGTGCTGGTAGCACATTTAAAAGAGTCGTACCAGCTCCGCACACACAAAAGTGTCATACATTATGTACGACTCGCATATGTGCGACCCATCACTAATGTATACATATATAAAGAGTTATTTTCAAATTGTTTGTCAAGGGTGTATTACATAAAACCTTGTAGAAATAAACTCAAATTTTTTGGTTTTTAAACATACAACCTTGTTATATTAGGGTGACGAAATATTAAAATGCGCATGCCCAGGATGTCCGAACTAGTTCGGAATTAGCACCGCGAAAACACCTATTATTTTACAAGAAGGGTACTTTATTTTAACGATTGTATGACATTTGACAACTGTCAACTAACTTAACGCTAGCCCGTGACTAAAACGGCATAAAGCAAAAACTTGTCATGGAAACATGTAGGGTAATGGGCGTTTTAAAGGTGCGAATAGAAAAACATATTTTTATATGTATATTGTGACTATCAAATTTTATAATGGGGTTAAAACTTATTTAGTTGCTGCCCTGGCTGCACCGTCACCCCTTTTATTTTAAGGCTCTCAATTCTAGATTAATCTGCATCAAAAATACCTCATCTACATTTTTAAGTAATAAAGGATAAAATATCATTTTTATTGTTAAAAACGATAGAAATTATCTTTTGTCCTTTAAATTATTACTTTATATTGTAGATACATTTTAAACAGGGCAGCTGCACTGGGTATTTCAGTAACAGAATTTAGCCATTTAACTAGGTATCAGAAAAAATTGTATACCACATACAGATGACTAGTTTTCGAATTTATTCCGACTTAAATGTTTTACAAAAGATGTTTTTCCAACAGTAAAATTAAAAAAATATATATTTTTTATTAGATACTGTACCCGATCGTTCGCCGAAACGTGGGCGCTGAAAAAGCACGAGCGCATTCACACGGGCGAGCGCCCTTACAAATGCGACCGATGCGGTCGCTCGTTCTCGGACAATTCGAACATGTTAAAACATCGGCGCACGCATTTCAAGGAGCGCTCGAACGCGCAACAAACGAGCATGCAGCTGGCCTTGCCGGATGATTTGACAACGGACTTGGTCGTGGGCGCCGAGATGGCCATCGGCGAGGAGAAAAACGATATGGGCGGCACGTTCGAGATACAGCAGATCGACGAGAGTGCGTTGCTTTTGGGCGCCGACGATGGACAAGAGATACGGATTATTCAAGACGATATTGCTACGGATGGGGTCAGAGGGTTGCTGGCTGATGGAACTATAGTGCCTATTGATTGGGCTAGTTTGCAGAACAAAAATATATTCCAAATACAGGTAAGATAATGTGTCCATAAAAAACATTCAAGTGCCATTGTACTCACGAAAGATGTGACATTGTGTAAACATCTTGTCTTGTACAAGTTTGTGTGAGAAATATGAAATTTTTCAAATATTTAATATTTTGGTATTTTTGAAAATTTGAAAATCACGAGAACTATGAATTTAATTGGTTAAACTAGGCTCAGTAGTTTTTTCTTTGGTTTTTCTTGGAAAATGTTGAATGCAAAATATTTTAATAAAATCACGAGACCACGTAGCGGTTGAGGGGTTTTATTTTTAATTATTATGCATAAAACTATTTTTCAAAAAGAAAAATCAAATAAAAAACTTACTGAGCATAGTTTGACAGATTACATTTATAGGTTGAGTGATATATGTCTAGATTATTTGACAATTAATAAAATATGATGTAGGTATACCTATATCAAAAATTTTGAACAATTTTTTAAACAAAATTCCATTAATTTAAATTAATAATTGATATTTCGTAAACTAAATAACTTATTTTTTATTGGTTTTTAAAAAATGTATGTTAAAACTAAATAACACCATAAAATCGTGAACAAAAATCCAATAAGGAGACTAAAATGTAATCGCTGTTAAACAGTTCTAGTGATTAAAATCGCTTATCTAAACAAAATTTATTCGAATATTCAAGGCTTCTGATTGGTTCATTTTATAATGATAAAAATAATCGGTCTATAATTTAAACGTTATTGTTGTCAACACATATTACCAAAGCAGGGTTCCCACTAAACCTGGAAATCAGGGAAGTCATGATACAGTCATGAATACAAATTTTAAGCATGGAAGTCATGGATTTTGGTTAAAAATGACCATTCATGATTTTCACTAAAGAGTCTTGATTTTTGTTACAAATAGTACTTTTACTTTTCATTTATGGAAATAAAGGAGTTGGAACTTAAAAAACCTAAATTAAATCTAATGAAGAAAACGGAATTGAAGTCAATTGAAACATAAATCAAACTTTTGAAACAAAATTTATAAATAAGATTAAGCAGTGACTGTTTTATGCTGTGTTTTTGTTTTTATTAGAATTTTTATTTTGTTTATTTTAATAAAAAAAATCTATCAATCAGTTCCCCCCTCCCCTGTCAATTTTGTTGATCATGGAAAAAATATTTACTGGTCATGGAAGTCATGGAAATTGAAATTATATTGTTGGTGGGAACCCTGCAAAGTGATTGATTATGTCCTAGGGACTAGGGACAAACATTATTTGGACCAATTGGGTTTTTTAAGGCCTTGGAAGTAAAAACTCATTATTTATAAACTTTGGCCAATCAAAAAGTTTGAATTTAGTCTGACAATAGACTGTCAGATCTACTTAACCTCACTTTCTACTTTTAATAATAATTTTTATTATAATTTTACATTTAACAAATAAAATTGTGCCTTAAAGATAAAATTTAGTATGCTATTCGGCCAAGAAGTGTCTTTTTGTACTTTTCTTAATTGTAAACTTTGAACTCTGCACAAAAAGACTCACTTTTTGACCTAATTACGTAAAAGAGTATTGGTAAAAAATATTACTTTTTTATAATAAAATAACTAACTAAAATGTTTGCCTTTCAGACGGCAACGGATCGACTTGATTTTTTGCATAGAGTTAATATATGGGCAGGATAGTATAGGCTACTTTTTATACGGACTTTTTTGTTTTTTTAAATTCCCAGAACCTATGATTATTTTGTTAAAAAGCATAGTGGTTATATATTTTTTAAATAAACTTTCGTACCGGAGTATCTTTATTCCACAGAAAATAGAATAGAAACTTAAAGAAATTAATGGTTAGGATATTTTATCGTATGCAGGGTGTCCCGAAAATGGCCCAATAACGCCGTACCAGGCAATAGGGGGGTTATTTTAAATTTAAAAATCCTATTAAATAAAGTAATCGAAATTAAAGAATGTGTTTCTTAATAAAATTATTGTTTTTTAAGGATGAATATTTATTTTATATTTTTTAGGATGTTGAGGTAGAGGATTCGGGTCTTATCGACGACAATTTGCAATTTATAAATACAGATGCCCTGAAGGATGTAAACGTCAGTTTTGTTGGCGAAGACGGTCAAGAAATGTGTTTTGTTACCACTTACGGAGTCGACGACAGCGCTCTAGCGCCGCAACTTTTGACGGTGTCAAAAGACGGCCTCCTAAACCTTAACTGTAACTAGGCAAATTATAAAAACGCTTTTAGGGATACAAAAAATATAATATATTAAAATATCATAGCAAAAACGTATAAACAATATATATAGCAGTTTAAAAAGACAAAATATCGCTAATCACAAATCAATTAATTCATAGAAAAATTTTGAGTGTAATCGTATTCTATTGTGGGTATTACGGATTGCATGAACTTGAGGAATATTATCAGGTACATGTGCACCCCAAGTTCACCGCCGCCCTCGGTCACTGTTTCGATGATGCTCTTCATCACCTGCGCATGCCTAAAAAAATCAAATTTTAACAATTTTGTGGAAAAATCAAGTTTTTATTTACAAAATAATATTGTTCTATTATATTACTCATGTCAAATTTTTATAAATAGTTCTAAACAAAAGTTGTTTAACAAGGTTTTTATTTGGCAAAATTAGGTATCATGGTTGTCTGTTGAATTCCTTAAAAATTAATTTTTTTTATTCTAAAACAGTACTAGTAGGGTTTTTGAATAAAAAAATTAATTTTTAAGGAATTAAACAGTCAACCACGATACCTAATTTTGCCAAATAAAAATCTTGTTAAACAGCTTTTATTTAGAACTATTTATAAAAATTTGACATTAGTAATATAAAGAACAATGTTATTTTGTAAATAAAAACTTGCAACTGTCCCATCCGTTACGCGTGGAATGGCCGTATTATAACCTGGTTATATATGATTTTATTGCATTTATTATTATTATTATTATTGTTAATTATTGCATTTTTGTTGAATTTTCCTACCAATTTTTATTGCTATACTTTTATGAAACATTAATTTTAAAACCAAGCTTGCATACATTTATAATTCTAAAATGTGTTTTAAATATTTTATTGTAATATTGCATTATTCAAGAATTTTGTATTAATGATCACAATTGTTTTCATTATTTTTTTCCAACTTTTATATAGAATTTTACAGATATACATAGATTGTTTTACACATGTATTAATCTACGTAATTAATAAATTAATTAAGTGTATATTGTGCTTTAATTGCATTGAAAAGCCTTTAGAGACATGTATAAACAATATTTCTTAAGTCAAAAGAAAAAGGTAAATATTTTCATTATAAGACTAAGTGACATGGTAGCCATTTTATTTTGCAGGAAATGTCAAGAAATTTTTTCCAGAGTCAGGGAATTTTCAATATATTTTATATTTACTTAATCGGTCTATAAACATTTAGTTATGCCCTAGGGACTTAAAAACTATGTTCAATATTCTTTCAAATTTAATGTATTTGAATTTGAAAATCGAGAAAAAGTACATACTAGATGTAGGAATTTTAAATATAATTTTATTAATTAAAAATTTAGAATTTCATACTTAAATATACTGTTAATTTATAACAATTAAAAAGATTTTAACTGTCAAAGAATTTGGTTGTGTTCCGGAATTTTTATGTTTGCATTTAATTCATTTGACACGCCTATTAAACCTACCAATATACCATTTATATTATAACATCAGGCTAATTTAATCAATTTTCTAATCAGGGTTCGACCGATAAATATGACATTTATCACGATATATATCGATATTTATAAGTCATGATATATATCACTGATATTTAAAGTGAAATCACTTAAAGTATATGGTTCTAAATCACAAATATAGTTGAAATGATGGTTTTAAAAACCTGTTTTTATATCTTATATTAAAAAAATATGTACAGGAATATAAGGGTCTCCTCATATTGGCTCATTATATGCGGATGAATTTAAAACCTGCTAGAAGCATATGTTAAAATATTTGAGCCTTTTTGTTATTTATTTTTTAACAAGTATGTAATTTTCATATTTTACCCAGAGGTTCTAGTTTTATTTTGAATAATTTTATTCTCTTATACATACTTTTTTCTTCAATTTATTCCATATTCCATTGTTGTGTAAAAGAACAAGGCAATTTTTAGTGATACTGTTGAGTGAAGAAGTACGTAATATAGGACTATAAAACTTTACATTAGTATTTATAAATAGGTTTATATTTATTAAGAAAGCAAATCACTTTTTTAAACGGGTAAAATGACGGGAGTTTTTTAAAATGATCAAAAATCAAAAACTACAATTTGATGATTAAAAATAATTATTTTTTTTTTGTTTTAATTCATCAATTTGGTACCAAAAAGCATAAAAGAAATAAATCAAGAAATAAAAATCAAGATGTTGAAATATATCCGATATTTCGGTATTTATAAATATCATGATATTTTCGGACCCTGTTCAATAATTTTTAACGAAAAATTGTAGTATAACATAAAGAAGTATTTTGCCATAGTATTTATTTTCAGTTATGTCTGGCTAAAAAAATGCGGAATTTCTCGGATTATATTTAGGAAACGAAACTGTTTCTTCCATATACTGGATATAATATTAAGAATTTAAATAAGTTTTACCCCTTTTGACCTGGAAAAAATTAAATCCATTTCAACTTTCGATGTCAAGACAAACCGGAAAGTCAAATAAAATTTATTTTGGAAAAAAGTGAGATAAGAAAATATATTTTATACTGTATTTCCATATAAACATACTGAGCAACAATTCATAAAACAATAAGAATGTTATGTGTGGCACACATTTTCTGTAAGGTATAGTGTATACATTACATACAGGGACCCGGACCGGACCGTTTTTGGACAGAAAACCGGACCGAAACCGGTATATATTTGTGGACCGGAACCGTAACCGAACCCATATTATTTTTAAATGCAAGTCTAGAGACCGAACCGGAACCCTTTAAATTTAAAACTGTTTTTTTAGGTTATTTTCGGTTTTTTTCTTAAATTCTTTTTGCAAAAATTAATAAAAAAAAATTTTTTTAAACCAAATAATTTTTGATTATTTTGGCAACAATGCAAAACAACTATGACTACAATCATGTCAATGACATGTTAGTAAAATTGCCTACAGATGGCAGCATCAAAGTATGTGAAAAATGTCCATACAAGTAATTGAAAGACGCGCCATTTTGTAAGAAATAAACGACCATCTTTTATATGTGCTTCTTTGAGGTTTTCTAAGCCATTCTCTATGTTCAAACTTGGTTAAAATGGGACGAAAAACAACTAACCCAGCACATCAACAATTGTGAGTGAAGATTAATTTATTTTTAATGCATCCAAATTAAATGCCAAGAATTTACAATTTCCTACTAAACCTAAAAATAAACTGATATTTTAAGTACTGCTTTTTTATTTATATTAGGGACATCATGGGACAAACCTTAAAATGCAAATGGTTTCATGATTTCAAAGAGGATCAGTTTGTAGAGGAACCTTGCAAAAAAAGTCCATTTAAGCAACCCATTGACAGCGAGATAAATACTATAAAAATTGAAATATCAAAGGAAAGTGCACAAAAAAGTTGCAGTATGAACAACTGACATTAGGGTCTTTCTATGGTTACTGGCAGGAATGCAAATTATCCACAGAAAAACTTGGAACTCCATTTGCAAAAACCCTATTAAAAAATATGATAGAAAGAGAAAATAAGTTGCTTGATAATGATGTGGTCATTGCAGGAATTTTTCTTGATCCTCGATTTAAAATTGTTTTAGACACAGATCAAATGGACAGAGCAAAACAGCACTTAAGACAACTGTGGTCTAGATTATTGGCTTTAAAAAATATTAATTCTTCAGATACTGAAATTGATCACTTGGATCTTGAGACAGGTTCATTGGCCTCTTTCTCCTCAAGTGATGATATGGAGACATTTTTATCAAAAAAAGAAGCTGAGCATAAGGTCAACCAGGATTTTCACAGCAGTGAAACTGTAATTTTGTTTAAAAAAAATGAAAAACATTTTAAATTCATATCAAACCGAACAAGGGCGTGTATGTCTACAAAAGAACTCAACCATATTCGCATTTTGGAAGGGGAAAAAAACAATTTAGTCCAGAATTATACACTCTAGCACAAATATTGTTAGGGGTTCCAGCAACACAAGTAAGCGTTGAAAGGCTGTTTTCTGGCCTTAAATTTTTACTTCCTCCATTAAGATCAAACATTAAAGAAAAAATTTTAGAGGAACAATTATTTGTAAGAACCAATAGAATTTTTGGTGAAAAAGAAGAACAAAAGCTGTAAGTTTAGTTTGTTTATTTTTATATAACTTATTTTAATTATAAATTTTCTAGTTTCTCAATCATGATTGTGCACAAGATCAGAAGAAAAAAATAAAGAAAGCCAGCCGATCGATAATAAAAATAAAGAAGATAATGAAGACCCTAAAATTAGAGAACCTCATTTAAAAAATAAGAAGAGACAAAGTAATACTTTATTTAATTACTTGCCAAAAAAAAATAAAAAAAATCAATAAACTTTTTATTTTATAATTTAAGTAAATACTTATTTACACCTAGTAAAAAACGTGGAACCGAAAAAAACCGTATGGACCGAAAAGGTCCGGACCGGACAGAAATATTTTTTTTGGAACCGTAACTGAACCTGAACCGAAATTTGTCATTTCTCTCGGAACCGGAACCGTTATTTCATTTGGGTCCGAGTCCCTGATTACATATCGAGTGGCGAAAGACGGAGATTTCTGAAGAGTGTGAAGTTTGCTGAACAAGCGCAGCAAAAATTCGACCTTTTCTGCTTTTTAAGAGACAGCGAATAAAAATCGTTAATATTTACGCGTTTACATACATCATAGCGCATAAACCAACCTAAAGACAATTAAAGACGTTAACTTTTGGGTTTAGATCCGAAAGTGGAGTCGTCTGCTTTTCCCAAAAGTCCGCCATTTCGCTCAAAAAGCAGCAAAAGTCGAATTTTTGCTGCGCATGTCATAAAAAATTCCTACCTGCATGGGTGAACAGACGCGATTTTTGGCACGCTCAAATGTGGATGTGTTTCCATGGTTACAGTTTTTTGTGCATAATCTTTGCTAACATCTTGGAAGAATTCGTTCGCTGTTAGAGGCTTGTGGTTCTAAAATAATACTCCAAAGAATAAAAACGCTTTTAATACTTGTCGAAATATTCACCTCGTCGTAGCCTGTAAGCCATAACCTGGGCGTTTGATAATATCTATCATATGTAATGTGCAAATCATAGGTACGAGTGTGTACTATTTCTCCGTCATCATCGCTTTTGCTACATGAAGCCTTGCTTGGTTGAATCACTTTTGCAACCTTTAAATAACATTGTAATTTAGGATATACATATATTAATTATAAATGAACATTTTCTTAATACATGTAAGAAGTAATATATAGCAGGTTAAAATTTTGCAAAAAATATTTAAAAAAATATATTTTAACACTTTTTATAATTATACATTAAATATATTAGCATACAAATTTATATTTGGTAGCTATTATTGTTTTAAAGTAAAAAAATCAATTTATAGTGAAACTTTGTATTCCATATAATGAATTTGCTGATTGTTTATTTCTTGTTAACATGAAGTTAGATTTAAGTTAAAATTGGAAAAAGTAAGGTCATACAGTTGTCAGATGTCATAAAATATGAAGTAAAAATGGCTTTAAATACCATGCAGTATTTAAACAAAATATTGTGTGCAACTATTGGTAAAAAAAAACCTCCACGCTCGCCGAATCCCCTATTTCTTTTACTAGTCTCACAACGAACTATTTCTTTAAAATATTTGAAACAGGTTACCTGTTCATCTTCTAACATCCCACTTTCTTCAAACTCCTCCATGTCTGCAGCCTCTTCATCATCTTCGTCTTCTTTGTCATCATTATCAGAATCTTTTAACGCATCTTCCATGCTGTCGCCTTTGGCATTTTCGAGAGTCATCTCGGAAATTTTATCTTCCACTGCTGAAGTATTTGTATCATAATGGTGAGTATCGACCCAGCCGTTATCAGCATCGTCAGACTCGATTATTCTTTCCAATTCTTCGGAGTATTCCATTTGAACGCATCTAATAAAATTTATAATTACGCATTATAAAGCAACTACTTTTACAATACAGTGTAAAAAGGTTATTAATCTAAAAATAATAGTAGTCATTTGGAGCCAGTGCAAATATTAAAATTGACACTTTTATTCTTAAATACATAGAAAAAACTACAACTTTAAACGACTGTAAAATTTGTTGTTTATTGGCGCCGCTGGACTACTGTTATTTTTAGATTTCAAAGTTTTTTTAAATTGATATTTTATTTCAATCTTTTGAGACAATTTATTGGTTTATGTGATGCGAAAAGGGAAACAACTTTGTCGCTCAGAGTCGGTCCGATTAAGGATGCTTAGGCGTCATATACCTGAAGTAGTGGTGTCAATCCCGGGATCCCGTAAAAAACAGATCCTGAAAATTTCAGGATACAAGGTTCCAATCTCAGAATCTTAATAAGTTTAAAAAGAATAAAATATACTTTTTTTAAGCGTTTAATATTTTCATATTATACTCTTATAAGTCTATATTGAAATATATAATAATACTAGATCAAAATTAAAATTAGTTAGAACTCCGCAGAGAAATTAAGCTTAGATGACGTCAAAGATGCTGCTTTAATAATTGAAGACTACAGGGAAAAACGTAGTAGTAGACTACTACTAGTAGTATGTATATTTATTGGAAAACCAAAAGGCTGAGGTCTTTCTGCCTATCTATTTTTTACACTTAAAATAACTGTTTACTATAATGTTGTTTTAATAGAGGGCACAAAAGCAGTTAGTTTTTTAAAAGGACCCAGAGATTACACAGTATTCAAGTTTAAAATTGCTTTTCTGAAAGTTTTTTTGACATTGCACATTTTTTTCCCCGTACTCTTCAATTATTAAAGCAGCATCTTTGACGTCTGGCAAATGTTTTTTTAGTACCTATCTATATAGCCAATTTAACATTAATTCTAAAGGTGGATTTAGCCATCATTTAATGTAATGTAATGTAACGTAACGTAATGTAACGCAATTTAACGAAAAATTGTGCCATTTATACAACATTTAGTATAAGGTTGTAAGCATGCGCAATGCGGACGTGTTGGTGTTTTTTGAAACCGATGTTGGCACGACTGGGTGATAAGTGACATTAGTGAAGTGAAGTTTCTTTGTTTGTTATTTTGATTTTAAGTATGCTTTTGAAAAGGACGCAATTAGTAGCCCTTCATTTGGGGATTTTGGGTATTTTGGTCGCAGGCTTTCAATACCTTCAAGCAAGAAAGAAGAAAAGAATCCGACGATTTGGTGTAAGACCTATTAATAGGGCCCGCAGGACATTGGGCCATTTTAGAACCCTTTTTACTGCCATGAAAGAAATAGACCCTGAGCAATTTTTTAAATACACTAGGATGACGTCTGACCAGTTTGATAACCTGCTGGAATTGGTGGAACCTCATCTGAGACGTTACAACAAAAACAAACTACACTTGTCACCTGCAGAACGTCTGGCAATCACCATACAGTATGAATAACATTAGGAACTCATTTAGTATATTCTCAAATAGTTTTCTTTCAGAGGGTTGCTCAATGCAGCAATTGGCATGGGACTATTATATTGGACATGCAACAGTACATGTAATAGTAAATGAAACATGCAGAGTTTTATGGGATGTACTGCAGCCAATATATTTGCCAGCACCAAATAATGAAATGGAATGGGAAAGGATATCAAATCAATTTTATAGCCGCTGGAATATTCCCAACTGTATTGGAGCAGTTGATGGGAAACATGTAGCCATTGAAGCCCCAGCCAATTCAGGCTCTGTTTTTTTTAATTATAAAAAACATTTTAGGTGTGTATGCCAGATTGTAGCTTGCCAAGTACTCAAATATTTTTACTTTTATTTCAAGTACAAGTATAAAGTACTTGTAAGAAATTTTTTTAGTAATTATTAACAATAAATACAGTTTTGATTGTAGCATAGTTTTATTTATATATTTTTTGTTTTAGTATTGTGTTGATGGCTGCTTGTGATGCCTACTATAGATTCACAATGGTAGATGTGGGAGCAGCTGGTGGAAACCATGACTCTTATGTTTTTCGTGAATCAGCCTTTGGAAAAGCATTGCTAAATGGCCAGTTGGGCCTTCCACATCCCTGTCCATTACCAAATACCAATATAAATGTTCCTTATTTTTTGGTGGGTGATGCAGCTTTTCCACTACATACAAACCTTATGCGTCCTTACCCTGGTGATCATCTGGATGATATGCAACGTATTTTTAATTATCGTCTTTCACGCGCGAGACGTATAATTGAAAATACTTTTGGAATATTAGTGCAGAGATGGCGAATTCTACGTCGCACGATTATTGCAAATGTCGATAATTGTGAGGCATTCATCAAAGCTACGATTGTGCTGCATAATTATGTGCAAAAAAAAGAGGAACAAATTCCGGAGGCTAATCGCCAATATTGTCCCACTGGATTTGTTGGCTATGAAGACCAAAACGGAGTTTACCATCGTGGACTATGGCGTAGGGATTTGGCACCGTTGCGACCAATAGGTCGTTTGGCTTCAAATAACAGTGCGCGAAGTGTACGAGAACGAAGAGACAGTTTGGCCAATTGGTTTATATCCCCCCAGGGTGCTTTACCGTGGCAATGGGACCGTATATATGAAGGGGGCTTGCCTGAACTTTAAAGGTCTTGTGGTTTTTTTCATAAATTTGCTGTTACACCTGTTTCCAATAAATAGCCTTGTAATTTTGGTTTAGTCTTTTATTTAATACAAAAATTTATTTAGGTTTATGGGGGGAGGGGTCGAGTCAAATCTCACGCGGGGGGGAGGGTGGTCCCGGCAAATATATTTTTAATTTTTAACTGATTATTTTTATACAAGCTTAGGATCCTTATATTTTGTAATAAAAAATATCTCAATATTCCCTGACTAAAAGAATATTTAAGACCATAATTGTCCCCCCTAAGTTTTTAATACCCATGTAGGTGGAATTCCGAGTAATTTTTTACTGATTACAAATACATTATGAGAACACACCAATATGACTGTTGCAACTTCAGAATTCATTTATTTTTTTTATTACAAAAGGATATAAGCATGGAAATAGTTGCATATGAAAATAATCAGTTAAAAAATTAAAAATATTAATAAAAAAGGTTGGGTCATCCAAAGTTTAAAACATTTATTAATATTATATATAATAACAAAATTTTGTTCTATTAATAAATTAATCGCTGTCGTCCGAAGCGTATTTATCTAAAATACCTAAAATTTCCAATCGAGCGCGTCTCCAGTTTTTTTTATTTTTTATATCCCTCATACTTAGCCCTACCATTTTTCCAAAGAGAATGCTTTCATCCTCCGGTGCTTCCTCAACTTTATTTAAAATATTATTTAAATTTGACATAACACCACTGACAGTCTCCTGGAAAACTTCTGCAGAGGCATCACTCTTTCTGCACCGTTTTTTATCCTGGTGGACCCTGCTAGATGAAGGTGTAGCCACTCCTGATGCAACTCCTGATGCCACTCGTGGTGCCACTGCTGATGCCACTCGTGGTGCTATTGCTGATCCAACTCCTGATGCCACTCGTGGTGCCACTCCTGATGCAGCCTGCCTGCTGCTTGGCCGAGACAGCGAGTCAGCCTCTGATTCCTCCTGAGACGAAGATCCAGGAAGTGAAAATAAAGTATCATTAAGAACTTCATCATAAATCATTGACTGTCCATATTCCCCACTTTCCACTGCATTAAAGTTGCTACTCGTTCTGCAAAAGCAATATTTTGTTAGAAAGGCCTCTAAGTTTAAGCACGTGCTATTTGAATGCCTTTACTGTACTTTAGGGTAACAGTTAATTTGAGTCAAAAAAATGTTGGTCATGCCACCACCTAAAGAGCTTTTAAATAACTTTTCTGTACACGTGTATCTGGATGATAAATAAATAAATAAAATAAATAAAATTATGTGGTCTAAAAATTTTAAAAGAGGTTTTTTGTTTAAAATCTTAAAAATATTTTGTTTAGGCTTTTTTTAACCCAAATTAACTTTTATTATATATAATAGTATTAATATACATAAAATTACAGTTTTTTCAGTTGTGTCTCTACATAAAATAGGAAACAAACTTTCACCACATAGTATACTGTACTTACTTTCTTTGTTTAACGTGAGTGTCCAGAAACGCCATGTTTTTAAATAAGGGCCACTCAGATGTTGCTCCTGACCCTGATGGAACTCTTGTAATTTTTTTTTTTTCAGCCGAAAACCTATTCCTGCATACATTCCATCGTTGCTGGACATCTAGTACTGCAAACATATCTCATGTATTTTTACCTAATTGTTGGCTTTAAAACTTACCACTCTGTTCCAAAATAGCAGCTATGCTGCTCCACGCCTGTTCTTTGTACTGTTTTTGTTTAAAATTTATATTGCTTTTATCGTACAAACAGGGATACGACGACACCAACTCAATTAATGCCTGATCGTTCATTATGACAAAACAATCTTTACTTTACAGACACAGGTTATAAACACAAAACACAATAACGGAATAATGATGCTAACCTCCAAACTTTCGATAGGAAATTTCAGAGACAAAGGGAAATTTTGTTGTTGCAAATAAGGTTGGTATTACGCCACGCAAGCGCAGATTGATTTTCATGTAACATAATTTAAGAAAATTAAAAGTTGTCCAACTTTACCTTACATTACGTTACATTATATGATGGCTAAACGCGTCCATAGGGTTATATAGTTTTATCTCTTAAATTAAATTACGTTACGTTACTTTACCTTACATTAAATGATGGCTAAATCCACCTTAAATGGCAAGCATGAGGAAAATGACTTAGGCTAGGATTTATTTTTTTAAATTTAAAAAATTATTTGTTGCAAAAAGCAGAGACATACATGTGTGGCATTATTTTTTTTTACACAAATGAACAATTAAAAAAATAAGATTAAGACAAGCAAATCACTAAATAGAGCATTTGTTTTTTACATATTTAAAATTAAAAAAAAAAAACGCAGCATCCTAGACGTCTGGCAAATGTTATTTTTAGATTTCAAAGTTTTTTTAAATTGATATTTTATTTCAATCTTTTGAGACAATTTATTGGTTTATGTGATGCGAAAAGGGAAACAAGACCTTTGTCGCTCAGAGTCGGTCCGATTAAGGATGCTTAGGCGTCATATACCTGAAGTAGTGGTGTCAATCGCGGGATCCCGTAAAAAACAGATCCTGAAAATTTCAGGATACAAGGTTCCAATCTCAGAATCTTAATAAGTTTAAAAAGAATAAAATATACTTTTTTTAAGCGTTTAATATTTTCATATTATACTCTTATAAGTCTATATTGAAATATATAATAATACTAGATCAAAATTAAAATTAGTTAGAACTCCGCAGAGAAATTAAGCTTAGATGACGTCAAAGATGCTGCTTTAATAATTGAAGACTACAGGGAAAAACGTAGTAGTAGACTACTACTAGTAGTATGTATATTTATTGGAAAACCAAAAGGCTGAGGTCTTTCTGCCTATCTATTTTTTACACTTAAAATAACTGTTTACTATAATGTTGTTTTAATAGAGGGCACAAAAGCAGTTAGTTTTTTAAAAGGAACCAGAGATTACACACAGTATTCAAGTTTAAAATTGCTTTTCTTAAAGCTTTATTGATATTGCACGTTTTTTTCCCTGTACTCTTCAATTATTAAAGCAGCATCTTTGACGTCTGGCAAATGTTTTTTTAGTATATAGCCAATTTAACATTAATCCTAAATGGCAAGCATGAGGAAAATGACTTAGGCTAGGATTTATTTTTTTAAATTTAAAAAATTATTTGTTGCAAAAAGCAGAGACATACATGTGTGGCATTATTTTTTTTTACACAAATGAACAATTAAAAAAATAAGATTAAGACAAGCAAATCACTAAATAGAGCATTTGTTTTTTACATATTTAAAATTAAAAAAAAAAAAAACGCAGCATCCTAGACGTCTGGCAAATGTTATTTTAGTCACAATTGTGATTTTAGTATCAATATGGTCAATTTATAATAAAACCTAAATGCCAGACACAAGCAAATGACAGATTATTTTTTATTTTTTACAAATTTAAAAATTATTTAAAAAAAGCAGCAATACCTGAGTCTGCCACCTTATTTACTCAGTTCACAAGCATCAAAACTCTATAACATATCATTCCCAATGACGAGCAAATCATTTACCGAAATTGCCACCAGCTCTCTAACTTAATATTAAGAACATCTGTGGACACACTGTATATTAGGGTGCTTAAAATAATAAAAAATTTTCGCTCTTACCCTCTCAAATGTTTCTATTTAATATAAAAAAAAATCCTCACCAAATATGGGCTTTCCAGCTCAACTCTAAGAGGTCGCTGTTTTTATTTTGTTTTCCATTTAATTAACATGGGAAAAATAATTTTATGTTTGGAATTTTATACCTCTGTATCAAAGTAACTTATGGCAATGATCATTGCAGTTTCTTATATAAAATGTAACGCTCTACAAAGAAGGTCTCTTATTATTTTTTGATAAATTGATTTCTTCTAGAGTTATTCGAGGTCAAAGTTTGATTAACATTCAATTTTCTGTTTTTTTTAATTTTATGGTACAATTAGCAAACGGGAGGTGAAAGGGGGCAAAATAATGCAGCGGGGGGGCAAAATGGGGTATCCAAAAAATTTCGTAAAAAATTTTTTTTTTTTTTATTGTTTTTTTCGGTTTCTAAATTATTTGAAAATTGACTCACAAGTTCACGCTTTTAATCGATCATTTTTTGGGTACCCCATTTTGCACCCCCCCCGCGCTGCCTTGTTTTGCCCCCTTTCACCTCCTGTCTGCTACAATAAAATTAAAAAAAACAGAAAATTTGATGTTATCAAACTTTGACCTCGAATAACTCTAGAAGAAATTTATCGAAAAATAATAAGAGAGCTTTTTTGTAGAGTTACCACCATACTGTATATAGTATACTATATACTATAAATAATATAGAGAACATTTTATCACAATATGATTAATGATTGGACATTGCCTGAACTCAAAATCCATGGATTGTAAGATTTATTTCAAGGAGTACCTATATATTACCTTCTTGAACATGGAACATTCCTGGTAATCAAAAATTGTTTTTCTTTTGGCAAATAGGGCTTAATCTTAGATTCATCTCCCGATGCCCACTGCCATGTAGGACAATGGTGAACTAAATGATCCCCAGCAGCTACAAACTCTTCTGGAGTTAAGACACCAGTTTCTTTGAATTTTGATTCCTTAAAAATAAAAATATAAAAACAAGTTGCGATTTAAGTTTTGTAATTATGCTTACTTTTAAAACTGGGGTTAAGTATTCAGCAACACCTAAAGCGGTGCCTTTTACGCTGTTAATAACGTTTTGCATTGTAAAACCACAAGTAAGACCAGTTTTAATACACAAAAATTTTACGCAGTGGCACACAATCTACAACTCCATAGTTTTATCGATTTTTTACTTGAACTAGACTGTCAAGTCTTGACAGAACAGCTGATCCGTCACATTGCTGTTCATTGAATTTCCATTTCAATTAAAAAAATAAATAGGCAAGTGTAATTATTTTCGATTTTAAATTTACTTTATATTAAGATTGCTTTATTCTTTTCCACCCTTTATAAGTATATTTAAAAACTATATATATATATATATATATATATATATATGTAAAATTGGCAACATTGTATTGTGAAAAGGAGCGTAATTTAAAAATATAGATCAATATCAAAAATAATTTTTATGGAGAAAAGCATATTGATATTCCAAAGCCAAATGCATGGGTGTAGCCACAGATTATAAAGGGTGTAGCCAGAATTTTCAGCAGTGGGGGCAAACGAATCTGGACTTAAAAAGCTTCACCCCTGAATCTCAACTTGAGATTCTTAATAAAACTAGTACCTACTTGGTTAATTGTGAAGAGAAGCTTCCTACAAAATTCTTTTTAATTAAGGATTTTCGACGGATAATTGAATTGGTTAGAAATTTAATAGAGTACATGACAATAAAAAAAATTCAGGCTTTCCAGGGGGAGGGCAACTGTCCCCTAACTACGCCTAAAAAAAGTTGTGTGGATTTTTTCCCCAATTAGCCCATGTTTCGGGCGGCTATGGTCATCATATATCCGATTTGACGGTACCAGATATCTGGTATATACAGGGTGTTTCTTTTAACTTGAGACAGCTCAATATCTCGAGAAATACGCATTTCACGGAAAAATGTCTTAAATAAAAGGTTAATGTGACTAAAGGGGACATTATTTGGTGCTACCGCTAGCCACCCCCTACCCCTCCTTAAGGGTGAAACGGGGGGTAACTTTGGAAAGTCAAATGGAATGACCCGATTTTTTTCACAGAGTTTGGTAGTACATAAAAAAATAAATAACTTTTATTTAAAACTTTTTTCAATTTCTCAACAGATGGCGCTGTAATTCAAAATTTAAGAAAAATGAGTTTCCTTGTAAAATGTATTATTTGAAACGTTTGAAAAACAAAAATTAACATTAACAACAATAGTCGGCTATGAAAACAATTTATAACAAATGTTCGAAATGTCGTCATTCCATTTCAACACACTTTTGAATGCGGGTAATGAATTCTGGCACACAACGCGCCAACATATCGCCGCACAGGCGCTCCTGATCCGCTCCACCATGTCCTCCGAAGTTGTAGGAATTGCAGCGTAAACTTTTTCTTTCAAGTAACCCCACTGGAAGAAGTTTGGTGGCGTAAGATCAGGTGATCGAGCAGGCCAAATTACTGGACCACGTCTACCGATCCACCGCGGTGCACCGGCCATTGAACTCCCGATCCAACACCCCTCGAGCAATTGTCGAATAATGCACATGTGCATGACAACCATCTTGCTGGTACCACATGTTTTGGAGCCGTGCTAGTGGTAATCCTCCAAAAGGTCCGTCAGATCGTTTTCTAGAAAATTCCGGTACTTTTCGCCATTTAATGCACCGTCAATAAAGAAGGGTCCGATTAATCGTTCGCTTAAGGTACCGCACCAAACGTTTACCGACCAGGGACGCTGGTGCTCCACTTGGTGTCGAAATGGAAGGACGACATTTCGAACATTTGTTATAAATTGTTTTCAGAGCCGACTATTATTGATTTAATGTTAATTTTTGTTTTTCAAACGTTTCAAATAATACATTTTACAAGGAAACCCCTTTTTCTTAAATTTTGAATTACAGCGCCATCTGTTGATAAATTGAAAAAAACTTTCAAATAAAAGTTATTCATTTTTTTATGTACTACCAAACTCTGTGAAAAAAATCGAGTCATTCCATTTGACTTTCCAAAGTTACCCCCCGTTTCACCCTTAAGGAGGGGTAGGGGGTGGCTAGCGGTAGCACCAAATAATGTCTCATTTGGTCACATTAACCTTTTATTTAAGACATTTTTCCATGAAATGCGTATTTCTCGAGATATTGAGCTGTCTCAAGTTAAAAGAAACACCCTGTATGGTATGATTAATCATTTCTTGCTCAAAAATTATCTCACAAATAAATTTATTTATTTATTTATTATTAAAATAATGATACTTAAGTATCATTATTTTAAGTTTCTGAAATAATTATGAAAACCTGCTTTTGAGAAACACTTTAATTTAATTTTATAATGCCTATAGCGCCCCCAGGAGGCATTTTTCGACATCTGTTTATAGCAACTTTATCTTTTATTTTTACTTGTAGAATCACCCCACATAACATTTTTGTAAATGTTTTATAAAACATCTATAGATATATATATATAAATATAAATGCAACATTTTATCGATATTTATAAATATGTAATTACATCAATTTTAAAATAAATATGCATTAAACTGTAAAATATTTTGAAAATATTTCCAGATATTTTTGTGATGTTGAGGAAACATTGATAAAATTATTTATTATATATATATTATTTTTTTATCTATATTATAGATACATTACCTTAAATTTAATCAATATTTCCTCAACATCACAAAAACATTTGAAAATATTTTACAGTTCAATGCATATTTATTTTAATGATAAAATATTATTATAATCGATATAATTATATTTTATTTAAATAAAAGTAAAATATGTAAAACAAAAATTCTTTCAAAAAAATCACAGAAGTAATAGTAATTTACGTTACAAGGCCGGGAAATGGCTTATTAAAGTACGAGTCTAGATGTTTACGGACGAGGCGACGAAGGAGCCGAGTCTGGAATTTCTTCTCTTGCAAGTACTTTAATGACATTTCACGGCCGTGTATCGTACAATGTTTTATTTCATACTATTCAATATTTTTTTCAAATTTTTGGTACAAAAATTGAACTGTATGTATATGTTCAGGTGAAGGTGTCAGTAATGTGTCAGTACATGATGGTATCAGTATTGTCTAAACAAACTATAAAATGTAGCACCAGTAATATAGGGTGATAATGTAGTATGCTTTAAATCGGTTGCTAACAGTAACAAAGAGTTTTTTTTATTGATTGTCTCATAGATGACCGTTCAGCATCGTTTTGAATCTGTGGTTTTGAATAATTTCGAATAAAATGGATGCTGAGATTTTGAAAAAAAGTTCTGAAGCGACGGCGAAACTTATCCCGGTCAAGTCTTCCGGACGATATCAAAAGGAATACGAGATATTCTGTGAATGGCGCAAAAACTTATAATTGTTCAGAAATAGCCATGTGTTAGTTAAAATATACGAGTCCGGTAAAGTTACTTTACCGGCCTAGTGATGTAATGTATCATTTCCCGGACTCAAATGAGTCCGGGAAATGGCACATTAAAGTACAGTATGAAATAAAGGAAATTTTTTTCTACAGTCTTGGTTTTTCTTTTTAAGTTTCTTTGTTACTTCCCTTCTCTAAATTTAGTCTGAGCCAGCCGCTGTTGTTGTAACTCCGGTAAAATATCATTTTCCGTCGAAGACTCGAAGTTTCGGTTTTCAGATGGAGGCTAAAAAGAATTTAACTTAATTTAAAGTCTTCGGTTCAATCCCGCTCGGAAAAATTACTGTTTTTAAACATTAAAAAACAATATTTTTGGTTTTCTAAGCGATTTTATTACGTTTATGTTTTTTGTTAATAAGAAATTTACCGATAGAATAATCGTCTTCAATAGGGTACCGGTGCGGTTCAGTAAACTGCCATTTATAAATAACAATAATAATTTTAACAATCAAAATAAATATAAAACATATGTCCAGTAGGAAGGATTATCTGGATAATTTATTAGGTATTAAAACTTGAAACACACTCAACAAAGTAAAAATGGCCGAACTGACGCTGGTTTGTAGATGACTTAAGCAGACGAGCCTCAGACAACGCATACCTTTTTATCAAGAGGGCGCTTGTATCAGAAAACTTTCAATTAACTTTTTAAAAAGTTTATAAATATTGTTAAATAACTTAAATTGCGAAATAAATGTAGAAAAATATTTACGTGATATTTATGAATGTATTTACGCGTAACAGTTATAAAAATATTTTTCCCTGAAGGTTTGTACATTTCATTAACCTTTCATTTACAAATGGCCTGACAACATTTTTAAAACATATTGTGTTATGTGGGACCCCCCAAATATAACGTTATTTCCAGATACCCTGTATGGTAGTATTTATAATACTGTATTATAGACTATAATTTATAGTATAATAGTAGGAGTGAAGAACGGTAAGGGTGCGAATATTGAATCAAATTTCACAATTCAATTTAATTCTTTTTTTTTTCAAACACTATTTGCATACCCCCCTTATACATATAGTTTTGAGTACGAATATAAAACCAAAAAAGACCATTATTTGAAATATTTTTATTTGCATTTATAAAAAAATAATCGGCGAGATTTCCAGACATAAACAAAACCTGTCGCTAGTAAAAAACCTACTTTAGAAACATTTTAACAATTTTTCAATACAATAAAATACAAACTGATCTTTTAAAGGCACTAAGTCTCAATAATTTATTTCTTAATAAATTTTGTGACAATGTAACATATATCTCATAAAAATTTATAAATAAATAATGGTATAACAATCTTAGCATGATTAAATAATACATAACACTGTAGGTAAATTTTCAACTCTTGAAATATTACAGCTAAACGCTCGGACAAGTAAACATAATTTTTGGTCGTAGATTCCAAATCCGTGCTTGGTTTAGCTGTATCAGGTCTAAAAAAGTTTTTCCTATTGGCAAACCGATCTGGGGACACACTGTATACTGGTATATTATACTTTGTAAAATAATATATTCCACCTCTTGTGCCAACATTCCCAATAATAATAATAAAAATAACTCTTTATTTGTCCCAAAAAACATATAAAAGATAGTTTATAGAGGGACACCTCTATATACATATATACCTATACATTACAATTCAATACATATTTACATTAACAATCGTCATACACAATATTTATAGTTAATTAAATACACTTATGTAATTTAGTAGTTTAATTATGTAAAAAAACCACTTGTTCCTTTTGATCAATTAACCTCAAATTTTGCAAAACCACAGGTCCAGCCTAATTGATTTTTTTAAATTTATACAGGGTGTTTCCCAATGGAATGCTCCGAAACTTAAAAATTAAATATCTTTGAATTTTGACCTGGTACAGCTAAACCAAGCACGTATTTGTAATCTACGACCAAAAATTAAGTTTACGTGTCCGAACGTTTAGCTGTGATTTTTTCACCTCCCCACAGTATAATTAGTCATAAAAATAGAAAGTGCAAGAAATTGCTTATTTTAGTAACAATAGACTAGATAAAAATCTATAACAATACAAAATTAATTTGGCCACTTGATAAGTAAATAAAAAAGCCATCGAGAAAAAAAGTGCGACAAAAACTATAAAATTGCTTTTAATAAAAATATTAATGGGTGACGTTCACAATATCGAAATTCATTATATCGAATTCAAAATATCGAACACTTTTTATCGAAAATCAAAATATCGAAAATACAAAATGTCGAAAATCAAAATATCGAAAATTAAAATGTCGAAAATGATAATATCGAAAATTAAAATGGCGATTTGAAAATGTCGAATAATTAAAATTTCGAAAATTAAAATGTCGAAAATGATAATATCGAAAATTAAAATGTCGATTTGAAAATGTCGAATAATTAAAATTTCGAAAATTAAAATATCGATTTAAAAATATCGAAAATTAAAATGTATGATTAAAATCGAAGTGTATATGTACAGAGGCGCCTCTGTAGATAAAGTTACGGTTATGCACCGAATTATCTTGGCTCCCTGGCTCCTAGAGATGCGCGTTTTATAGAAATGTACTCAAACTCAACAACACAACCCAACCGACCCCGCCCCATTGCCCCCCCCCCCCCGCCCCATTGAGCAAAAAACCCAACTAAAATGGGCAAATTCATGTTACGATAAAAATAAAACACTTTTTAATTACATAAATTAGCCCATTTTAGTTGGGTTTTTTGCTCAATGGGGCGGGGGGGGGCCAATGGGGCGGGGTCGGTTGGGTTGTGTTGTTGAGTTTGAGTACATTTCTATATTAGAGGCGCCTCTGTACATATACACTTCGGATTAAAATAATATGTCGATTAATTGAAATATTTAAACAAAATATCAAATTCAAAATAAGAAAATAAAATTTCGACATTTTGTATTTTCGACATTTTAATTTTCGACATTTTGTATTTTCGATATTTTGATTTTCGATAAAAAGTGTTCGATATTTTGAATTCGATAAAGTGAATTTCGATATTATGAACGTCGATATTTTATTTTCGATAAATTGAAAATTCGATTAAATAAAATTTCGATATTATCATTTTCGACATTTTAATTTTCGATATTTTGATTTTCGACATTTTGTATTTTCGATATTTTGATTTTCGATAAAAAGTGTTCGATATTTTGAATTCGATAAAGTGAATTTCGATATTATGAACGTCACCCAATATTAATACCTACAAGTTTGGCATTAATGTTTATTGTATTTAGCCTCTATATAGTTAACTGCTTAAAAATATTCACTGGTCTATTCAAACTTGTGCGTTATCAGGGGAAACCTGACGATCCTCAGCTGCGTCCCAAAATCGCACAGCACGGCGTCGCGCAACATTATCAGCTGATTGATGAAAACGTAGGGCGAGCGCCCCAGGGCGATCGTGCGCACGCAGTCGCCGCTGCGCACGTCCCATACTACCAGTCCGCCGCTTCGCGCGGTCATCACCAGATGGGGCGCCAGCATGAGCACATGATTCGAGAATGCCTGCGGTATGTTGATCGTGTTGAGAAGATGCCCTTGGAATCGCTCCCACACGCACAGGCGTTCGTCGCTACCGAGCGATATCACGTAGCTGGCCGAGTACGTAAGCGACATTATGCTGCCGTTGTGAGCCTCTATGTTGTACATGCATGTTCCTACAATACAAAATAATATTTTTTTATACATGTCACTAAGATGACACTTTTTTACATTTCAAAGAATGTTAAAATTTTACTTTACTGCCAGCAAATTAGTAAAAAAACAATAAACCCTAAACAAAATAAAAACCCACAAAAAATTCACCAGCATAATCCTATGTATTAAGGTTCCTAGCAAACACATAACTGAGTATGTAATGGCAGATTACATAGTTTTATGGCTTAATGGCAATTTTAGCCAAAGCTTTTCTTGTACTGGGCCTTTACAGGAATATTTTAATAAAAATATTAATTTTGATAAAAGGCTGTCTTGCAATGGCCCTTCTTATCAGGCTAATTTTTGTATATTTCACCATAAAAGACCCATATATGGCAATTTTCAGTATCAAGTTAATGGGACTAAAAAACATTGAAGTGCCAAATGTTTTCTGTGTATAAAACAGTAACCTTTAATTATCTTTTGGTTAACGCCATATTTTAAAAATGACGCCCAGTGTTATTCCTATAGTTTTAATAGTGTGTTATACCTCATAAAAAATAATAATAATACCAAATTAAATTTAAATGAGTAAGTATGTGCATTTTTAATTTTACAAATTTAAGAACTCTTATTACAGACAAAATACATCCAAAGGGTATTTCCATTGTAACGGGTGCGACACTGACACTGCGTTTTTTCATGATAATAAAGTGTTTATTCATATATATCAAGATACGTTAATATACAAAAATAGTATAAAAAGAAGATATTTAACTCAAACAAAATGTCAATAAAAACTTTTATAACGTCATGAATCGCGTAAGGGGCGCGACCTTAGAAAATCGGCAAATGCGACCAAGCTGGCTTCTAAAGTTGATACTGTAAAATTTCGGATGAAGGCATACAGTAATAATTTTTTGTGTAACCTTAAACAAGCGCGTATTTTAAATGCAGAAATATTGTATACTTTATTTTCTAAAATGTTCTCAAAATGTAATGTGTGCGAAATTTGAACATTTTATCGAGTATTTAAACTCTTCCGTGTTTATTCTTAATTTTAGCTGCTTATAATCACAATATTTTAAGGTTATAAATTACGTCGCAATTAAACTATTTGGCTTCAGATATAGTTTTTATTTTGTTAAATAACACATCTGATTTTTTGTCAAGGTGGGATAAGGTTTCGCGGAAATACCCCAAAGAATTTAGTAGAAAGATTTAATTGATAAGGTAAAAATTGAGGAAACTGAATAAAAAAAATTAATAATGACAAAGAAAACCTGGTTTAGTTTAAGGAGTTTATTTATTACACAGTTTTTAAAATAAAAATGTTATGTTTTACTTATACAGGTCTTTATTACAACACATTGCCTTGTATTTTTTTAGTATTACATTTCACGGTTTTAGAAGAATTAATTTATGTAATGGATAAGTAAAGTATTTTTTATGGTGGATTAAATGTGGTTTGTTTATATTTATCGGGTCGGATATTCCACGATAATCGGAATTTTTTATCCCGACCGTCAGAAATTGTATTGTGACGGTTCTGATTATCGTGGAATATCGTTATCTAATAAATATATACCTACCTATCACATTTAATCCACCATAATAGATACTGCACTTATCCATTGAACATTATTTAAATAACCACTACCTTTAATCTGCCCTTTTCAGAACCTTTAGCGCGCCATATCAAAAAATGGAATGGTTCTTGTAAGTGCCTTTATTGACTGCCGTTACATACTTACTAAAGGTAAACGCGACATAATATGTACAGTTCCATTAGAGTTAGCCTTTATAGGGCCTTTAGAACCTTTTCGGTTGTGTTTGGGAATTTGGGAATAAAAGCCGTATTTTTGATTTTATCAAAAAAACAGCTGATACCATTTTTGACAAGAAAATCAAGTTCTACAAATTTGTATACTTAGTATATTTAAATATTTTGCATACTTATTTAAAGGCCCGTTTAGCCTCTCATTCAATCTGCGCCAATTTACTTGTGCAAGTCACTTTGCACAAGTTAATCATTGCCAAAAAGTTTGGCTTGAGTAAAATCTATTTTGTGAGATGAGTTTGGTGCAGTTGCATGAGCGTGAAAACGATGGTACAAGCGGTTTGCGCAAGTTTGCCAACAAAACATGTGCGTTTTTGAGGTTATATTATATTTTATTTATTTGTTTAGGCTATTTTATAGTTATTAAAGTGACGTGAGAAAACATTTTTTTATCAAACAAGGTTTAGCCCATCTTCAGTCACGTTCGAACTCTTGACTAGGTAAAAAATAGTAAACCAGACCTCGCTTGAAATGAAAATTTTACAACCCTAAATAAACTATAATGCATTGTATCTACAGTAAATTAAAGGCTACCTTACGGTCACGGAAGTAATAGAGTGTGAAGTGATAGGTGACAGCATACCTGGCGGACGAACCACCTGACAATAGGAAGCATTCTATGTGAAGAACAAGTGGAAAGGGCCATCATCTGCAAACATTTGATAGGAACTCTTAACTGACTGCATGACCTAATGCGTAAATTTACAAAATTAACCACGTTCAGATACCTGCACAACCCTAAGAGCGGTTCTTTCCGCTTAAACACAACACTAGTATAAAAAAACAATGTAAAACAAAGAGCAACATTGATAATGAGACAATAGTAACAAAACAATACAAAAAACAAGAAATCCCAGCCGTCACAAATCTTATCGCTGGCATTCACGGGATTATAGCTGAGCAATACAAATAAATCAATCACCAAGTAAGTCACAAAATCCATAAACTTTATAGACCTTTTTCAATAAACAAAAGTGTAAACTACCCGAGACATAAATAAACATAGGAACCTAGGAACATATAGACCCTACGTCGAAAAATTTTCGACGAAAATGCAATAATGGGACTCAGCAGTCGTAAACAACACAAATTTAATCTTGAATAAGGTAATATATATTATGCCCTCTTTTGGTTCAAAATTATATTATATAATATAATTTTGGACCAAAAAAGGGCATAATTTTGCGTGATTCCAATTTTGCCCTTATTACGCTGCGGCCTCTTGATTTGCGAAACCAATAGCTTCCGTCACTAGTTTGACCACACGTTTAACAAATTGAGTTTGACATGGATATTATTTTATCTAAGATTTTTAACGATTTCCAATAATGTAGCCTTTGTTATTTATATTGTTAATGAAGGTTCAGTAGACGTGATCGTCGATTATAATCGATTTTAATTAAAAGTGTGGGCTTAAGTTGCTTAATGCATTACTGCATTAAATTGGGAAAAAGTAAGGTTAAAACCGTTTGACAGATGTCAGATTGGGAAAAAGTGAGATTAACACATCTGACAAATGTCAGATTTATAAAAAGTGAGGTTAAAGCCGCTAGGCAGCTGTCAGATTTCAGAAAAAAATGTCAAATATATAAAAAAGAAAAATTAAAAAAAAATAGTTTACTTTCCTGTTTCACAACTTTTACTTATGCAAATTTTTTAATTACCTTAGAATTTTTGGAGGCTTTGCTTCAGTTCAAAACATAAAGAAAAAATAGTTACTTTCTTACTTTACAAGATTTTCTTTACAAGTAAAATCGGCCCACCCTATGCACAAATCAGTTTGCAAATTGCTTAATTTAACATTTGACCAGAAAAAATATTTTAGCAAATATAATAGGTACTTAAGGTTTTGAATATTTTCTTTTATTTTCTGAAAATATGATATTGCGTTAAATGGAAATTTTCCCATATAAATCATATTTTAATTCCTAAAATTAAGACTTAATGAGAATAACTTTTAATCTTTTAAAAATACGATAAATTTTGTAGGGAATGAAATATTAAATATATAAAAAATTGTTTTTTTATAAATTTAAAAAAGATAGAAACTTTAGTGTATAGACTTTTTGAGAAATAAACTTTACGAAGAACCTGTTAAAATTAAGAGTTAATTATCATTAATCATTATCATTATTATTATTATTAATAATTATCTATATTATACACTAAGGAATTTTCATGTTGCGTTTTTATACGGTGTATAAGTGATCAATTCACGGTCGATTTACTTTCACAGCAAACGGAAAAAGAACTGTATAGGATGACTCCCCGTTTAAATACAAAATCTTAAAGTTTTATCAGAACTGTATTGAATCGTGCTTTGTTTTTATATTTTTGCCTCTATACCTATGCACTAGGGTGGAGCGAAAAAAAATTTTTTTTTTCCTTAGCCTGGGGGTGGAATTTGTAGCCTATAAAAAAAGAAAATTTTTGAAAAAAAAATGTTTTACCCAACCTCTTGAGGTGGCCCACTGATTTTTTAAATTAAATTTAAGTTAAAATTCTTTTAAATAAAAAAAAATTTTCAAAAGTGTTCCGGAAACTGCGGAGTGCCCTCTTTCTTGGTAATTAACAGTTATGAACTTAAAAAAAATTTTGTGGTCATTTTCATTTTTTTATAGGCTACAAATTCCACCCCCAGGCTAAGGGAAAAAAATTTCGCTCCACCCTACTATGCACGACTATAGTTAAAGTCAAACTCAATGGTGTCTTACAAGATACATTATTTTGATTTTCTATATTCAACAGAGAGGTAGAAACTCGACCCTGTTGAATGGTGCAGTCATTTATGTCTCTAGAAATTATTGAAAAAGGGTTCAGTCCAATGGTGCAGCAACTTCGAATTCTTATTCTCTTCAGAGACATAGAAACTCAGCTTTTCGAATTTTACTGGCAATGATTTTCGTTAATGTCCCCGAGAATTATACGAAAACAGCGCAATGCAATATCGCAACGGTTTCGACTTCTCTTTACTCTACCAAGTTATAGAAACTGGAGTCTCTCTAATACTGTTCTAGTCGATATTTCTGAGTGTATAAAAAGAGGGTGTAATTCAATATTGCATGAAGTTTTGATCTTTTGATGGATGCAAGTAGTTTGAATATTCTCATTTCTGCATATGATTTTGTTGAAAATAGTTCCTTTCTTTGGTTCCTTTGTCTGATTTTTATTTACCGTAACAACTCAGGTATGTAAAGCACAGAGGATATGATGTAAAGTATATTTATGTATTATATAAAGTACCTATATTTGAATTAAAATTTTCAGAGGTTATGTTGAAAAAATGATATGCTATTAAACTTTAATAATTTAGTAATGAGGTCTGTTGGGAGACCCTGCACATTTCCACGGGTAGTTTTATGTTAGTACAGCAATATTTAAATCTGGTTGATCAAAAAGTACACACCAGTGCAGGTTATTGTAGCATCTACGAACAAATGAATTAATGGCCCATTGGCAATTATTCCTTTAGGAAAAATACTTAACACAGCTTAATTAATTAATAAAATGAAAAGAATCAGAATGTCATATATAGTTTTTTTTCAAGCATAAAATAATGTTCATATTAATACTAGTTCAAAAGTCAAATTACGCTCGACTGACGAATACAACTCTATACCGTGGCGAGGGTTTAGAAACCTGTATTCAAACGTGGCGTCATCCAATGCACTTCTATATTTTTCCGTTTTCTATGTTACTTACCATCAATTGACGTTCTTTTCACGGTTATAATATAGTCACTCACTACAGGTTAAATAAATAATGACTAAGTCGTTGTTTTATGGTGGAAATGTCGTTTCTACTGTGAAAAACTATGCTTCTCAGGGTGAATTTTTCGCGTTGAAACTGTTATTCTGTAAATATCAGAACATTATTATTTTACCTGTCAATAGGTCCCATACACAGAGCATGCCGTCTTGCGACCCGCTACCGGACGTTGTCGGGTTAACTCGGTCAATAAACAAACAAGTGATGGGGCCGCAGTGTCCGTGCAGGGTGTACATGGGGTTACCGTCGTCCAGTCTGTGCACTTTCAACGTGTGGTCCTGGCTACCGCTGAGTATTCGACCGCCTTCGCAATCCAGACACGTGATTGGCTGCTGATGGCTTTTGATTGTTGCCAGTTTTAAGCAACGAAAATCTTCGTCGGTGTGATGCTAAATAAGAAAATATAAAAAAGGGTTTAAGTTTCCATTCGCCTTTGTTAAAAGTCTTGTTTTTTTTCTAAATTTAGTTAAATATAAAAAAGAAAACCCAATAAAATGTTAGTTTCAAAATAGTTTATGGAAAAATATCACATTTTTAAGGTTTAAAACTGATAATTAGGTTTTATATTTCCTTGCTACATAGGCCGAACGTTCGCAAAATTCGGATTTAGGATGGGAGTTTAGAACAGCATTGCTTTACTCTAGTGCTCGGCGAGTCAGTATCAGTATTGCAATCGTAGGAGTATATGGCAATTCAACGAAAGATAATACGCATAGCGATTATTATTGTATTTGGTATTCAAATATTTTATATTATTATTGTATTTGGTATTCAAATATTTTAATTATTTTAAGATAAAATACTTGATCCCATTTAATATGTGTATTAAGTAAGTTATTATATAGCCTAAAAATGTTGTTTGTATTAAACTAAAAATGTGTTCTATTAAAACTAAAAATAAAAGGATTCTCATAAAATAAAAATAATTTAAAAAATTAAAATCTAAAATATTGGAAACAATAAAATGTAAATGAAAATAATTCTAAAAAATAAAAACTAAAACATTTAATTTCAAAAAATTAATTATTTTATTTTGTTATAAAAGAGACCGCTTCTACTGCCAATACAGGCAATAACCCAACTGGTCTTAAAATTTCCCAAGAACTATTTCATGTCCTTATACACTGGATTTCATACAACCCCAAAGAAAAATGCCCTACCTACCCATCTTGTTATTAAAAAAACAAAACTTTATCATGAATTCGATTGAGGTTTACCAAAGCTGGCACAATTTCGTTTTAAAGAATTTTTTAAGACTGTTAAATTAAATTTACATAATTTAAAAATTAACAGAGTAGTTTATATTAACATAATATTGAATAATTGTGTTTCCAAGCAATTGATAAAAAAATAGAAATCGAGCTTTTAACAATAAAAAGATGAAAATGCCGCGTTTGAAATAAGGTTTTTGGACTTGCCCTACTCTGGCTCTGAGGTACATATTTGAATAATAGCGTTTCCAAGCAAAAATGTTTCTTTATTATATCTTATATTCTTTCCATGTACAAAAGAAGTACATATTTTACTTTAGGTATTTTTTTTCTTTGATTTTTGTTGCTAAATCTGTTACATTGCATTTGCGTAAAACACTGTAACAGATTTAGCAAAAGAAATCACAAAAGTTTTAAAGAAAAAAATAAAATTAGCAATATTTTTGTCCGTAATGTACAATATACAGTGTGTATTGAAACGAATAGATACACTTAAATAAAACAAGTGCCAAACCCCGCCCACTATGGTAGTGATTGAGAATTTATAGGTTTTATTTTTGTCAAATTCGTTTTTTTTGTTTTAATGCATTTCTGCAAATAAAAACTAAGTATTGTTTAAAATCCATTAAATTCCAGTTAATGGCGAAAATGTATTTTTTAAAAACTATACACATTTCCCTACGACAGCGTCGGAACTACTGAACAAACACAGTAGATCAAACTGCATGCCGCGCAGTTGCCATATGCTATTATTGTTTCCTAAAAGGGTTGTTTTTCCTATTTTTTAATATTAAAAGTAAGAAAATTAACTAAATCAAATTATATATATTATATATATTATTAATTTTTTTGTTATTTTTAAAGTTTCAAACAAATAAAATTGAACTATTTATTAAATAATTATAATCGTTCTCTTCTGATTTAAAACAACCTGGCAACTATGGTTCGTAATTACGAATGGCTTGGTTTAAACCACGCCCAATTAAAGTTTGTTTCTTTTTCTCTGATCAGAATATAATTTGTCATCCTTGTCTCCAGCCTTACTTACTTGATTCTATACAGTCTGTATAAAGATTAAACTTACAATAAAAATTCTTACACTTACTTGGCCATTGAGATCTCTGTCAGATATGGAACCCATTGATCCGGTTCTAATATGGGTTCTTCTGTAAGCACAAGTAAAATTCCAGTCTACTGGCCTACCCTGATTGTATGTTTGCAAATGGAAAAGATCCAGACTTCCACACAATCGCGCTGCAACTATTTTTGATCCTACTATCTTCAAATGGCTAATGCCCGATTCTGTGCCATCTTCAAATATACACTAAAAACGTAACTGTGCTGTATATACTATATTATGTAATTAACGTAAATGTTGGGAAAGAATTTCAGAGTGATTTCCTTGGTAAAAAATAATAGTTTCATTCATGTGAAGTTATGCTGTACATATTTTCATTTCCAATAACTTTTGAACACTAAAAGATAAAGATACATAGCCATATGGCTTTATTTTGAAATTCCCCAGTACAATTTTTAAAAATGACTCCAGGTCATACGGAAATTGCCGTAGGGTTGTATAAAGAAAAATATGATACGCCACTGTTTTTTTTTAATTTCCTTATTTGAAATAAAATTTTATCCCTCTTACGTTTTCTCCTAAATTCCAGTTTTCACAGCATATAGAGGTAAATTAAGGTACAGGAACATAATCAAGTATTTTATGATCCAGTCTTAGAAAGGCATTAAAAAGACATTAATAAATAAAACAATAGCTAAAATTTTGTTTCCTGATCTGGTATTCAAAATTAAAATACGTTATTTAATACAATGTGACTTTTTTAATAAGGAAACCACTGTTAAAATTTCTTCCAACATTTCATGAAAACCTGCAGATATTATTGATGAAAACCTTTGATTTTATTATTTAAATGTTTATTTTTTTTAACTTGTTCTTGATTATCTACCAGATATTTTTCTTCTATTGAGCAGTTGCCAATTTTATAGTTTTAAAACACTTTTATTAAAATTATTTCAAGGGGTGGATTTTTTTTGTGCAATTTAAGAAAAGGTCTGGTTTTTGCGATTTTTATGTTTAATACTAAATTTTTATTATGTTTACTCATAAATAATTTAAGCCCAATATTTAATAAACAAAAAAATAACTGCTAATTTAGAAATACATAATATTATAGATATTGTGATTAGTAATTTTGAAATAGTTGAAGAGTCCTTTTTCGTTAATTGGCATTAGGTATAAAGTTTAAAAAGTCTCAATGTGACAGAAAAACAATGCAGCTGGCCGCTATGTTTGTGATATCAGTTTGTGATCAGTTATAAACGTTTTGCCAACCATGTTTTTAATTATTATTAAATATCTTTGTGCTTGTGTTTCTATTTTTAGTGTCAAAAAATGATCGTTTATCAGATTTTAGGAACGGTATGTTTTTTGGCTTTTAAAAATGCCAGAATATTATAAAGGAAGTTGTACCTATTTTGTTGATAAATAATTATGAACAAATTGTTAAGCATAGTATGCCAAACCAAAGATATTAGACCATTAGCTTTTTCCTAAAAAATCCTTTTTATTAGTGAAGGAGAACAACGCCAGGAAAACGGTAAAGAACTGCCATGTGTATGAAAAAAAATACACGCGAGTTGGGTCTATTGCGCCATGTGTATGATTTTGTATACACGCACAATAAAATTATTTTAGCCATGTGTATGTAAAGAAGGATGCATAACATGGGTTTTATATGTTAGAATGATCGTCGTGGAGTTGATGTACACCGGTAGAGACTTAGCCGAAATTTTTTGTTTAACATTTTTAAGATGACAAACCCTTTATTCAAAAGTATGTTTGTCAAAAATCGAGCCAAAAATTAAGTTTGTGCGTGATGAAAATGTCGATGAGAAAAATGATAAAAAGATTTTATTTCCATCAAGTCAATGAAAAAATAACAATAAATTACAAAATAATGCTGGACAAAAAATGGTAATAATAACAAATATTTATTTCTTTTATGTTAGGTTGTGGGTTGCACAGGGGTAGAAGGGGGTAAAATAATTTAAAAAAATGGAGCTAATGTATTATACAGGGTTCCCACCAAGAAAATGAAACAAAATTCCCTGACTTTTCCAGGTTTTCCAGACCAATTTTCATCAATTTCCAGCAATAATAATTATAGGTACTATGCTCCACACCTCAAAGTCCCACCACGTGACCAAGTACGGAACGCAGTCTTTTGAAAATTTGGCATTTAAGGCTTTTCAGGTTATGTATCTGTCAAAGTATAGTCAATGAAAGAAATCATATTTATAGTGATACCGCTTATGTTTAAGCGTTAAAAGTTAATAAATCTTTTTAGTATCACAATAACATGGTTGGTTTAAGAATTTACGAATATAAATACTGCATTTAATGAAATTCCAAAGTGTAAGGTGCAATATAAGTGATATTTTTGTGCATTGGGTCTACATTTCTCCATAAAATAGTTTTAACTAAACAGAATTTATTAAAAAAAAATCTAACTTCTCTATTATGAAATAGGAATATCTGTATTTGATATATCAAAGGTAGGTTAATGTATTGGAACAAAGCATTTTATCTAATTTTGTATTTTAAGGTTAGAAAAATCTATTTTGACCAAAATAAATAAGTGGATTATTTGGAAGAGTGTGTTAATTTGGTCATAAATAAATATAGGTATACTAAATAATTGTTGAATATGGTTCAAATTAAAATGAAGCTCTTATACTTCTAATGACAAAACTTGTGCATACCTCTCGGCATACCTACTTTAAGACTTAAAGTTTAAGTTATGTAGATTATAAGAAAACAAACAATTTTTAGAGAAACTTGCAATGTGAAAATATTTAATACTCCCATGACATGTGATTTATTAAAATTTTTAAAGTTATAATGATTTTTGATGTAGATCAAATTCAGTCGAAGATTTTTAACTATTTGTATTGACAAAACTTTTTGTAGGTACACTTTAAGCTGGATAAGAAAAACTACCACATTTTTAAATACCATATTGTACAGTCTTTTAAATAATCCAAAATACTTATTTATTTTGGTCAAAATAAATTTTTCTAACCTTAAAATTACAAAATTAGATGATATTTTTGTTATACTATATTAACCTACCTTTAATACAGATATTCTTATTCCATAATAGAGAAGCTAGATTTTTTTAAATAAATGCTGTTTAGTTAAAATTACCAGATATTTGGACCAAATGCACAAAAATATTACTTATTTGGCACCATACACTTTGGAATTTCATTAAATGCAGTATTTATATTCTTAAATTCTTAAACCATCCATTGTTATTCTAATGTTATAAAGATTTATACATTTTTAACGCCTAAACATAATATTATTTCTTTCGTTGACTATACTTTGACAGATACATAACCTGAAAAGCCTTAAATGCCAAATTTTCAAAAGACTGCGTTCCGTACGTGGTCACGTGGTGGGAATTTGAGCATAGTACATGTAAAGTAAAAATATAATTTATTTTTCTTTTTACAATTTTTTTTAACATTTCTTAAAATATAATAAAAAAATTAAACAGTTCATTCATAAAAAAATTGAAAGGAAAAAAACTTAGTTTATAAGGGCATACATTTTATAAGTATTTGCGCAAATTATTTATTTTAGTTTCAATGCCCGGCTTTAAGTATTATTTGTAAAAAATAATCTTCGGCCGGTAATAAAAATAGAAACAATTTTTGGAAAAACCAAGAAAAATTAGTTAAATTCCCTGACTTTTCCTAAAAATTAGTTAAATTCCCTGACTTTTCGTTAAATTCAGCAAATTCCCTGACTTTTTTACTAATATTTAATTTCCCTGACATTTCCAGGTTTTCCCTGTTTTCCAGGTGAGTGGGTACCCTGTTATAGAAATTGTGGAATATTTTTATTGAGAATTAAAAGCTAAAAACATGGTGGCCCAGCGGACCTTACTTGTAAAAAACTCATAGCAGTTAACGTGTTAAATGATGTCCAAATTTATAAATATACCTAAACAGGGTGTCCAATAATTAATGGTACACAGCATAAGCACACATTCCTTACATGAAAATATTACGATAAACATCAATGTGGTTAAAGAAACAAGATACATGGTGTCGTTTTCGATTTTATTAAAAAACTTTGAAAAAAACACAAGTTTTTGCACCACATATGGTATTTAAGGGTTTACATTTCCTAAAATGTAGATTGTAGACTGCGCTGTCTGCGTCATATTGCATACTTTTAAACGGTCACAACTTCTTCGTGCCTTAATGTATTTACGTTTTAAATGAAACAATAACTCATTTTTATTACGCAAAGGTACACTTTGCATGCGTTTAAATTGTTCAGTGCAATATTTTTAAATAGGAATATATGGTTTTGCGGTGTATCATTAATTATGGGACACCCTGTATATGCAACCTTGCATTTTCTTATATATAATTCATTTTAGTGATTTTCTAAAGCCATGCATATTTCATAATGTTTGCATCATGCTACGCATAAGATCTTGGCTTTCCAAGATATATAGAGAACTATTTATCTAGTTTTTTCGCATTTAATTTGTTGTTACTTACTTTTAGTTTCCCTGTAGTTCCTTCCCAGAATTCCAGTCTGCCGTCTGCACAGCCGATAACAATTAAATTGTCTAAATAGTCTATGCACCAAATCTGCGATAATTTGGAGCTATTGTCACTTAAAGCGCGCATTAGGGAATTATTGCTACAACTACTGTCATTTCTTAAACTAGCCTCACTATTTGTCTCACTACTGTACGTTTTCTGCAAACGTTCTCGGTTAATTTCGCTGTACACTTCGTTGTTTTTCGGACGGTTTCGTACTTTCGGCACGTCATCCTTCAGATAAAAGTGCCTGTAAGATCGGATGAAATCGGATTTGGCATCGAGAGAACCACGTTTTGTCAAAGTAAAGTCAGTGTTGATTCTGCTCTTGATTCGAGGAAAACTGTCGTAACGCGACGGCGGCGACCCCGATTCGTAATCCGACAAATCGTCGTTATCAATGGATAAATCCTCGAGCTTATCGCCGCAGAAATACGATTTCCTATCTATGTGGCACATCAATTCGCCCGTATTGTTATCCCAAACTTTCAGTTGGCCGTTGAGACACGCGCTCACCAAATTCATACCGTCCGTTGCTATGCACTCGATCTCTTGTTGATGGCCTTCCAAGACCACTGGTACCGCTTCCAGAAGAACCTGCTCGTCGGACGACTCCTCTTTTCTCTCGCTGTACCAGGACGCCCTCCATTCTGCGTAATTTCTCGAGCAAATGCACTTGTAGAGAAGCACGAATAAGTAGGCCAAGAAAAGAACGCTAATCAAACATAAGATCATTGTTAGAGCTATCTCCATTGGAGAGGTGGGGTAGAAGGGTTGCTCTGATTGAGGCAAACGGTTAGCGCTCTTTTCCACATCTGAAAACAAAAATTATGTTTTAAGATAATTAACAGTCAAAGGCATGTTCCTATTAACAATTACAATACTCGACAAAATACAATTTTGCGCAGTGCGCTGATTCCAAAAATCGTAATTAATTTCACAAAGTGTGGTATCTCAAAAAAACCCTGACCTTATACTCAAATTAAGCCTCCGTCCTGAAAAATAATAAAAAAATGAGATACGACACTTACATATACAAATTAAACCTCCGCCTAAAAAATAATAAAAAATGAGGTACGACACTTTGTAAAGTTAACGTCGGGCTTCCGAAATATTTAAAATGGGAACACCCTGTATACAGGGTGTCCCATAATTAACGTGCAATACTTTAACAGCAGCATAGGTCCAGAAATGCTTTCTTAGGGAGCTATAGCTGTATGCATACAGCCCCCAAAAGAGGAGCTCATGGAGATGGATTTTATTTAATATCTCAAATACCGTTTAGGATAGAAACGTGAAATTTTGGAAATTAATTAAACTTTTTATGGCCAATGAGATGTAGTAATAACAATTTCAATTTTTCTATGAGGGGTGGGTCAGATAGATAAGAAGTAAGGGATAAACTTCCCTAACTTTTTTGTACGTGTCTTGTCCCAGGATTTGATATATGATTATTTTATTTTGGAGGTTTACTCACAAAAAATGTCCTCTTGTTGAACTAATATTTACCATTTTCGCTTAAAATCGATTTGAAAATTACCTTACATGGCATAAACATTCATAATAAAATCACAACTATAAAAAAAGATTCAGCTTGGGCCATCGAACACGGCTGCCATGTTTAGGAAACATAATTCAAGACTGGTGACATTTTATGCAAGGGAGTTTGATATATTCTCAACATTTCATTTATTTATCTTGAATCGTTTTGGAGATATTAAATAAAAACCATCATCAGGGTCTCCTCTTTTGGGGGCTGTAGCTCCCTTAGGAAGCATTTCTCTACCTTTATTTATAGGAACTTTTTTTTCTATTTTTGTTTGTGGAATCTGCTGTTAAAGTATTGCATGCTAATTAAGGGACACATTTTACATATTTTGATAGACAAGTTAATTTAAAACAAATAATTATTATTGCATATCTACCCTAAATAATAATAGTAATAGTCCCGTCTGTTACGCTTTAAATTATTAATTTTTAAGGAATTAAACAGTCAATCACGATACCTAATTTTGCCAAATAAAAACCTTGTTAAACAGCTTTTGTTTAGAACTATTTATAAAAATTTGACATTGGTAATATAATAGAACAATATTATTTTGTAAATAAAAACACGGCAACTGTCATATCCGTTAAGCGTGGAATAGCTGGCCATACACAGACGTTATTGCGCGCGGTTTATCGTGTTATCTGCAAAAACATATGGAAAATCATGTACGTGAGTGAGTATCGCCGCGCGCAATGGTAGAACGGGAAGGGATTTCAGACGTGCTTTCCTCTGGAGTGTGGAGTGTCCACACGCCACATTCCGCGTCACGGTTTACCTTTGCTTGACAAAATTTCACGTTGAAAATTTGTACATGATCACATGCAGTTTCAAACGACTCGATAAATGACACTTTTTGCCCACTCACATACGATTTTTCCTTTGAAACTGATATACCACGGGCAATCACTTGCTAAATCATTTGAATACTTTATCAAGTGTATGGAACATGACGCTTTTTTTGCCATGCCGTTCTTTCGTGCATACTAACCGCTACATCCCAACACGCCACGATAAACCGCGCGAAATAACGCCTGTGTATGGCCAGCTAATGGCCCTAAAGTCTTTTTATTTTAAAGCACATTTTAATTTCAAATGTCAAACTGACAATTCGTTAAATCCTAAAATTCATTATATTTTCTCACTAAATATAACTCGTGGTATGATTAATTATCGATGATATTTACTCATTGAAACCGAAGCAGCACATTTCACTCCTGCGGACTGAAATCTGCAGCTCAGTTTCAATTCGAAAATATCACCGATGATAATCATACCACTTGTTATATTATGAGTGACATCTGTCATAAGTGGACCAATCAGAGCGCTTTATTTGTCAATTTTTGACCAATCAAAAGTAATTGTTGCGAATATTGGATTAGTACAAATTGCAGCAAATATTGTACTGGTACTATGAGGTGAATATTATTCAATTTCGATGCCTTCTGTTTATATTTTTTTGAATTTTTGGTTCAATAAAATTTTCCTCCGAATACCACGTAATCAAAATTATGTGTGACATATTTTGAGGTGTGAATATTGGCTCACAAAAAAGAGTGATTCTGCGCCATAAATAGCACACGGTGTCCCTGAATAACTTTTAATTGAAAGGTTCAGGATAAACTTAATTCGCTTGGCACTTTTTTAGAAAAATCAATTTTTTGAGATTTTTAATTAGTGAACTCCAAATAATGACTAACAGCTTTTAATGTATTTGTTACATAAAATGTGCAATTCATTAGACTAGTGAACTATTGCATATGTCACTTATCAGATGTCACATGTTGAAATCGTGGTAGATTTATTTATAAATTAGATATAAATAATTATATTTGCATTGATTATAGTATATAGTGCAATGAAGCTAATATGCCATGCATGGACTCACTCGGATAATGGAGAGAATTTGTTTGATTTGTCTTAAAAAAGAAAAAGAAAAAATGTTTAAAATATGTGGAAAGATTCTGGAAAAAGTTGAACGCGATAAAAACATAAATGTAAACCTGGAGTAAAAGAAGAAAATATTGAAAACGATATTAGTGAAACTTTAAGTCCGAAACATCAGCAGCAGTTACTATCGCTCTTTCTTTTTTCTTTTTTTAAAAGAGCGATAGTAACTGCTGCTGATGTTTCGTACTTAAAGCTATGCTTTGAACTTTTTCCAGAATCTTTCCACATATTTTAGACATTTTTTCTTTTTTTTTAAGACAAAACAAACAAATTCTCTCCCGAGTCCATGCATGGTTTTTTATTACTATATGCTATAATCAAGGCAAATATAATTATGTATATCCAATTTATAAATAAATCTGCGACAAATTGAAAAAAAAACGGTAAAATAACGCAACGGTATTTTCAATAACGATTTCGACATGTGACATTTGGCAAGTGACAAATGTCAATAGTTCACTAGTCTAATGAATTGCACATTTTATGTAACAAATACAATAAAAGCTGTTAGTCATTATTTGGAGTTCACTAATTAAAATTCTCAAAAAATTGATTAAAAATCATTAATGTTTCTATAAAAATTGATTTTTCTAAAAAAGTGCCAAGCAAATTGAGTTAATCCTGAAAAAAAAATTGTCTTGTAAGTGATTTTTTATCAAAATATGAAAAAAAAAATCGGATACGTCTGAACCTTTCAATTAAAAGTTATTCAGGGACACCGTGAGCACCATGATATTCCTATTTCCTACTAGACTACTGTTGTGAAGCCTAATTCTAGTTTAACTATCACTTAATCGGAAAATAAATTCGCAGCATAACAATTTCTTCTTTTTTTTATTGTCGGTGCTGATTTCCAAAGCACTTTTCGAAAAATAAAATAAAATGCCCGAAATAATGAATTAATTCAACAGAAAAAAATGTATTTCAAAATATCAAAATCAAATATGGCGCCCATAAGAGAAAAAATAGTTGACTATCGTATATCGGCAGTTTTTAAAGCTAGTAAAAAGATTTTGGCAAATTTAAATTCTCTCGTCAACCGTTTTTAACACATTCACCTCCAAGGCATATTAGTGCCATCAACTTTTTTAAATATTGAAATTTATTTTTTGTATAATTATTATACTTTTTTTGCAAAAAACACAATTTGTCGCTTTTTTGCGATATCTTAAAATATAAAAATGACCAGTTTTGATAAATAGTTTCTGAAAATTTATTCAAATATTTTTACCCAACCGAAAATCAAAAACAAATGGTGCTGACTTACATCAAGACTTTTTTTAAAATTTTTAATTTATAATTTTTTCAGAAAAAAATGGTCTATTAGGTGAAATGCTTCAGTTTTTCTGGAAAAAATAAAAAATGGCAAATTTAAACTAAAAAAAATTCACGAATAATTTGATTGATTATTCAGGGATCAAGTTCAAAAGTTCTTGATTGACCATATGTTGGTTTTTTATAAAATATTAGTAATATTTTTTATTGTGCAGAATGACAATTATTTCTTAATCTGCTATATTAAATTTTAAATTACTTTGAGATTCTCTGCCAGGGCAAAATTTTTGCCTGTCAGGGTGGCGCCCCCCCTGGCTACGGCCTTTTGCATGTTAAGGCACGTCTTGGCATTAATAATAATGCATTTGCGAGCAGTATAAATAATAATATACATATACATTAATTGTACAAAGAAATCTTACCGTTAAAATCAATTGGGTCCAATGCTGCTGCAAGGGCTTGCCACTGAAACTTATCTCCATACTTCTCCTCAGGATTTCTCATCAATTTCGCCTGCTCAGGTGTGATAACATGCGAAAGTTTAATGTTTGGCAACACCGCCACCACCTGGCCACTTAAACTCATGTTATATCTTTTGAAGATCGACGGCCAATGTTGAGTGGATAATTTTAACCACGGCGAGTATTCCAAATGTTTTAATTTGTTCAAATCCTGACTTTGATTTTGTTTGTAGTCGGTTTGTAGCGGGTTATAGGTGACGTAATTCACTCTGTCGAAGGACTCGTTTGACGTTAATATCGGGTACATTTTTATGGTGGAATAGGTTGGTTCGAGATTCGAGTGGTTTTGATCTCTTTGGTTGTCATTTAAAACGTTGGTGACAATGAATTGGTTTATGATATCGCTGTTGTATGCTATCATGGAGATCCATATGACCATTAATACCATGATGGACTTTTGAAAGAATCTTGTTCTCGCCCAGATGTTAACCAAAATTAACCGTTTGGGAATTTTCTTTTCCTGAGAATTTTGCATTTGTCCTGCTACGATGTTTGCCGGAAACGTTGATAGCTTAGGGTGTGATTTTGAACGATTTATACTTTTGGCTTTGAATTTATCAAGAAACATTTGATTTTGATACATAGTATTTCTAAAATTATGATTGGCTTTGTCAGAGCAATTTTCTGAACGACTTATGTCTATACCCAAAACTGTAGAAAAGAAGAATAATTGCAGAAAGAAATCAGTGATTAAAGCAAAAATGGCAAAGATACAGAATTCTTGAATTGGCGGAACAAACGTGAACAAACCAAATGTGAAAATAGTAATCTCCAAAAGTATATTTTTAGTGATTGCCCAACCCTCTATGCTTAAACCTTGTGCTTTTCGAATTTTTACGTCCAAATGGTTAGGGGTTGATACAACACTTTTAGTTAGAACCAAATTGTTTTCCAAACCCACTATTATAGCCAAGTATGGAAATATGGCCTTTCCTCCGTGTAAAGCAGGCGTAAGTCCAAAGAAAAAACAAATGCTTATCGTCATTGTTAAGCTGCAAAATACTGTAATAGTCGCCGTAAATGCCATGCCCACCTTGGACTTAATTATTTCGATTTTGCGCACTGTCAAATAGTAGTACATGAAAAGTACTATAAGAGCACATATCAGCGGTATAAGTTCCAAATAGTTTATTTCGCCTGGGTATTGTATCAATAAAGTCTCATTATAAAGATTCACTTTTTCTATTGCATTAACGTCGTTTTGATGAAGAGGGTAGAGTGATACTAATTTTTGTTTTAGTCCGTTTATAAATCTAAAATATATTTATATTAATATTAGTTTAATAACTAATGTATAAGTTTAAATAAACTTACTCTGAATCGTATTCTTTAAAAAACAAAGTGATGGCATATTGTATAATTCTCTGCCTATTTCGAAAGGGATAGCGTTTTATTCCAGTGTCTACAATGTGCATGCCGAATAGCATTTCTGAAATCGAGGTTTTTCCCTTTTGAAAACTCTGAAAATATAATCAGTTAGCAAGCCTAAATACTTTTGAAATATATGTGAATGTGGAATAATCAAATTGCCCTTACGACCGAAAATTGCTTAGAGATAAATTAGATAGCAAGTGACCCACTCAGTAGGTCCTACTGACCACTAAAATTTGGAGACGCTCGGGTAATAGGCTTTTTTATTGATCTCTTTTTATAAGAATCAAGAAAAAACATTTTTTTCTTACTCCACATCATATAGTTAGGTACTTACGTGATGATTAAAAATTGTAGTAAGTAAGGAATTATCACTGGTAAATTTTTGTACATCTTGATTCCACAAATTTGCAGGAGACAGGACCAAACAACTGTATTGTGGTAAAATGCTGCTATAGTCGTTTACATGTTTCTTTGTTGATTCTATATGAACGCACAAATGACCCAAAGTTTTTGAACTGAAAACAAAAAATATTACCTTAATTATAGGCCAGTAAAACCGTTTTAACCCAATACTTTTATCCCGGTTGAAATTTATTTTTTTAATGGAAAGAGCATAAATTAATTAGTATATTTTCTGGTTTTCGAATTCGCCACCTTGGTTCGCCATATTTTTGTTTTAATAACTTACGAACCGTTTATTGCAGCCATTTTAAGAGCTACTTTTTATACAAAACTTATTTTGCTCATTGTTGTTGCATGAATATATGCAAATAAAAACGCAAACTTTGGAAATTAATTTTTCCCCTTTTTAACCCTTTTGTGATGTTTTTTTAGAAAATCCTCTCTTGAAATTTTGCTGCTCTAAAAATGTCCTATATATATATAAATTGACTACATAAAATTGAGCTTTTAATATACATTTTTTTAAATAACTTTAGTTTGTTACTAACAAATTATAACACTAAAAATGTTATTTTTAAAGAAACGTCGAAATGTTGTAGATTGTCCAGCCTACACTGGACCAATTTACTAAGTAAATTTTCATTTTATAGGAAATTTCAAGAGCTACAAAATGGCTCAAAGGGTTGAGGTTGTTTAAATATATTTAAGCAATTACGCATCGGAGAGCAAAATAGATTTTATAAAAAATGTAGTTCTAAATTACCAGTATTTTAATCGGTTTGCCTCTGTGCGACAAACGTTTATTAAAGAAAAACGTTAGATGTTTGTTGGCGGGGCATAGTATCGCAGGGGATGTTCGGATCAATTAAAAAACCACAATAAATACTATTCCATTGATGATCTTTTGATTTAAAAAAAAAATAAAATTAAAACCGGTATAAAAGTATTGGGTTCCCTATAAATAGATATAAAATCTTACACTTTTACTGGCCTATTACCTAACTATTTTAATTATTATTTTTTTCGATAAAGAGTAATTAATAATAGATGTTAAAACACATCAGTGTATTTTTTTATTTTTGGTGTATTGCGTAATTATTTAATTTACTTTTAAAGATGATCCAGTTACTTAAAATGTCCGGATCCACTTGGTCTGTATACAGTCCGTTCAGGCTAAGTTGAGCGCTTTGGTGAGGGATCTTGTGACCGTTGATTAAATTAAATATCTAATCCTCGCAAGATTTCGGTAACAAGAAGATGATTTATCAGTGCCGGGGCTTGCGGTTTGTTGGTACAGAGCGGCTACCGAAATACATGTATTTAATTGTGACTAAACATAGAGATGATGGACGGGGTGACATTCCTAAGACCGCTCAACTTAGCCTGAACGGACAGTACTTACCTTTACCGTGTAAGTATGAATGACAGGTTAAAGTTGGAGATTACTCAGGCTTTTTAGTTAAAGTCCGAAGAGTTCCATCCTCATTCTCATCCACTTAATAAGCGTAACTTAACTTAAGAAACCTACGTCTGTTAAGTTGTCTGTTTACATTAACTTAATACACGCAAAGAACGTAATATACAAGCACGCGCAATGTATACATCCATGTATGAATGAATGAGCTTTTAACCGGATAATGCTAGATCTAAGTCGGTGTATGAGTGTTCTCTTCTATGTATGTATATCAAAGAGCGTCACATATACCGAAAATGCAGTGTTGTAACGTATCTAGTTACAAGTAACTAGATACAGTATCTAGATACTTTTTATGTATCTGTTTGTGTAACTAGTTACTTATCCCAATCTAGTAACTATAACTGTAACTAGTTACAAATTCTAAGTAACTAGGTGTGTTAAGATACAAAGATACATTTTTAATTAAACTGCGACTATTATTTATTAAAAAAAAAATATTATAAAAAATAAGTTATTTTAAATAAAATATTATAAAAAAAATAAACATGTATATTTTTGTTGTCACTTTAAAATTCCCTTTTATTTCTATTTTAAATTTTTTAAAGCAAAAAATAATTTGTATGTATCTTAAAGTATCTAGATACTTTTTGAAGGTAACTGTATCTGTAACTAGTTACTGCAATAAAATATGTATCTGTATCTGTATCTAGTTACAAAAGTTGGTAAGTAACTGTAACTGTAGCTAGATACTGAAAATATTGTAACTGTTACAACACTGCGAAAATGGCGCACTAACACCATACCGCGCGAAAATATTGGACAAGCATTTTGCACATTTATGCACAGCATAATAAATAAATGTTCTTAAAAAAATAAATTCCAATTTTAAACACCTTATTATTCGAAAAACTATTTGTCAAAAAAATTGTATTTTTTTTAATTTAACAGTACCTAGTTAGTTACAGTTACTTACCAATACTGGAAACAGATACTTATTTTTTTGTAGTAACTAGTTACAGATATAGTCACCTTAAAAAAGTATCTAAGATACGTTTATCTCAAAGTCTACCTTTGACAGAGTACACATTTGTACACCGATTTTTATAAAACTAGAGTATATTATTTAGAATACTTTTTAATACTGTACATCTCAAAGTCTACCTTTGACAGAGTACACATTTGTACACCGATTTTTATAAAACTAGAGTATATTATTTAGAATACTTTTTATACTGTACACATCATTTGATATACACAGGGTTAGCCAAAAATCGCTTATTTTAATAAAGCAAAAGCGTAAATTCATGGTTTTGGCATAACACGCAAAAAAGATTTATCCCCAAATTTGTTTATATATTTCTACGTTTACAAAAGTTACAAAATGGCGTTCTTATTAACCTTTTATAACAAAAAATGATTTTTAATAAAATTAAATAAAATATCGCTTAGAGAATATTAAAATCTTGTTTAATTTAGGCTTTTTAGTATTTTTCAATTTTGAATGTTGAAGTTTTTTGATCGGCACTCTTTGGTTATTTAAAAACGATATTTACAAAAAATTCTAACTGCTTTTTTTTTAAATTTGTAAAAAATTCATTTATTTTTCATTATTTCTTTATCGCAAAGTGTACCTTTGCCAGAGTACACATTTGTACACCGATTTTTATTGGGGTGACATTCACAATATCGAAATTCATTATATCGAATTCAAAATATCGAACACTTTTTATCGAAAATCAAAATATCGAAAATACAAAATGTCGAAAATCATAATATCGAAAATTAAAATGTCGATTTGAAAATGTCGAAATTTTATTTAATCGAATTTTCAATTTATCGAAAATAAAATCTCGACCGCTGTCATACAGGTTATGACGAATAGCTGTCATCTTGGTTATGTAGGTACACTGTATTGTGCCATACCAAACCAACCCAAACTTAACAACCCAACCCAACCGACCCCGCCCCATTGGGCCCCTTCCGCCCCATTGAGCAATAGAGGTATAATATATCTAAGGGCAGGCTGGATTGTGACAATGGGGCGGGAGGGGCCTAATGGGGCGGGGTCGGTTGGGTTGGGTTGTTAAGTTTGGGTTAGTTTGGTATGGCACAATGCAGTGTACCTGCATAACAAAAATGACAGCTATTCGTCATAACCTTGAGGAATACTTTGCTACATTTAGCCTCTAGTTGAAAATGAGGTTAAAATATGCGACGGTTGAGCACACACATTTCTACGTCCGTCCGACGGTCGAGCACACACTTTTCTACGTCCGTCCGACGGTCGGGGAGACACTACCTTTAATTATTCGACATTTTCAAATCGACATTTTAATTTTCGACATTTTGAATTTTCGATATTTTGATCTTCGACATTTTGTATTTTCGATATTTTGATTTTCGATAAAAAGTGTTCGATATTTTGAATTCGATATAATGAATTTCGATATTGTGAATGTCACCCTTTTTATTGGAGTATATTGTTAACGAGACTTAGAGAATACTGTTTTCATACTGAGCAGTGCTCAGTGAGCACATCATTAGATTTATACAGGGTTAGCCAAAAATCACTTTTTTATATAGTAAAAAGCATAATGAACAAAAAATTTCGAAAAGAGGAGCAGCTAGGATTTTGGTAAATATCATTTTTAAGTCACGAAAGAGTCCCGAATAAGAAACAACAATCAGTTTTGGGCTGCATTTTTATGTGACTTAAAGCTTGTTTAGGCACACCGTGTACATTGGTAAACGATCTTTCAAAAGGTCAGATAGAATTTGTTTATCTAAAAAATGGACATTGCCATTATTTTTAAAGTCCAGCGTTACTACACAAACGCCTATGCCAATCGCAATTTCAATTTGAAAATAAAAGTTTGTATGTGTCACGCTTTACAATTACAGCTCACTGGATTATGGCTTCCAGCTTCCAGTTCGCCCGTAAAGATTGTAAATTTACAAAGCTTGACAATAACAGTGTAAATCTTTATAAAATGTCTGCTTGTATTAATTATAACCCTACAATGAACATCCAAAATACGCTTCATACAAAACATGTTAATAACACAGGAGCAAAAAAAACAAGTGGTCTGCATATTTGAATTGTCAACGACTTTCTCTTATATTTTTTAATAAAATAATAAATAAAGGCAATTCTCTCTTAAAGCATTTTTATGTTTACATAATTTCTAAGCACATTTTACATTTAATTCCGATTTTTTTTAAGGGAATCTTATTTTTTTAACAATGTGTAAAACACAGAGTACTTCTCTATTATTTTCATATTTTCTTAATTTTTGAGCACCCTGTACAGTTGATTAAAAAACTATTAATGGTTATCTCTTTTTCAAAACAAGCAGAAGTTTTATGGAAATGATTTTTTTTCAACACTGTAGAAAAAAATCCAGACATTTAGGGGCCAAACTGAGTTTAGATTTAGTTTCAGCGGGCGAAAATACATACAAAAAAATTGGTTTTATTCATGGCGCAGACCACTTCTTCATTTTTGTAGACCTGTGTAATCAACATTCAAATTTTACCTGGTGGTGTCTTCATAGTTTCTCACGACCTCGAGCAGTTTGAACGCTTCGTAGAGCGGCGCACGAAAAGCGTCGGCCAGCGTCAGTTCCTGTTCCCATGGCAACACGGCAACCCTGATCACCACCTGTTGAATATAGCAGAACGGTTGTTCCAGGTCGGAAGCGTTCTCGGGCGAAGTCCACACCAGCTGAGGCGATATGGCCAACGTCAAATTGTACAGAGGCAGGCTGAAAATAAGAAAAATTATATAATATATAGAAAACCCTACATACAAATAACAGTTCGTTAGAACTTTTTAGATTTTTTTTACAGTTTAAGATAATCTTTTTAATAAATGGGTCATGTTCGTTATAATTGGCGCCATGACAATTTTTTTAAAATTTACTCCCAAAATAGTATTTATGAGCATATCTGTACGCTGGCCAGTCAATTATTATATTTTTTCATGTTTTAAAAGAGACCATGGGAGATGATATATGTACAGTGCTTGCAAATCCAAGTCCGACCGGGTTGGGAAGGAAGGTTGTTCAATACCCGCGTGAAAATAACAAGGATAGAACGCCAACCAGAAGGCGCTTACAATACGCACGCCTGCCGGCTCTGACCAATCAAATTCTGTTTGGCGTTCTATCCTTGTTCTTTTCACGCGGGTATTGAACAACCGTCCTCCCCAACCCGGTCGGACTTGGATTTGCAAGCACTGTATATCATCTCCCATGGTCTCTTTTAAAAAATGAAAAAATGTAATAATAATATAGGTCTACACGGTAGGTTTCAATTTAAACGCATTATTTTTTTCATAAATTAAGTTTTATTGTAATTTGTTATTCATTATTCCTGGATAATCCATCTACACGAAATTCTTTACCTTTCTTTATGTATTGCTAACACTTGCATTTTTAATTCGAATTTAAAAGTTACCGCGTAAAAGAATTCAGCGAAACAGTATGCATACTTTTTAAAGCTTTAACATCATCGTATCTGGCTGACCACGGTCAGCCAGATTCGATGATGTTAAAGCTTTAAAAAGTAATTCTATTTATATACTTAACTCAGGATTTCCTTTCGAAAAACAACACAACAAATCGTTCCACGCTTTTCCGTTTTTATTCTCAATTATTCTCAAAAACACTCGTTTGTAACATACGCGTTTGACAGGGGATAATATATATATAATATATATATACTTTTTCTACGACAAATACCTATTATTATTGTAACGTTTTTGTGGTTCGACAATGTGAATAAAACACTCACTGGTTTATTAACAAACTAAACGATTTATTTTATAAGTTAATTATAATTAACGATGTGGCTCCCGTCCCGAGGCGGGACTTAATTTCGATCCCGACAGACGTCACACACTGTAAATCCGTTTTTATTCCCCAAACTTTTATAATTGTTGTCAAGCTGGATGGCTTAGATGGTAGGGCGGTCGCTTGGCATGCGAGAGGTACCGGGTTCGATTCTACTAGAAGTTGTCAAACTTTTTTTATTTTTTTTATTTTATAAATTTGTTGTTTCTTTGTTAAAAAGTGTTTTATTTTTATCGTAACATAAATTTGCCCGTTTTAGTTGGGTTTTTTGCTCAATGGGGCGGGGTCGGTTGGGTTGGTTTGGTTTTATGACGTAACTAACGTGCCCTTAACATGTATACAGGTACAATTTATTATTATTTTATTATAACATAACAAATCTTAAAATTATGACGTCAATCGGGACTGAACTTAAGTCCCGCCTCGGGACGGGAGCCACAGCGTATAATTAAAACTAAGTAATCACTTAACTACTAATTATTTATATTTCACTACTGTACAAGAGTCTATTTATTTGCACGTATATTTATTTTATTTCGTCGCGAGTACCAAGGCTTCACGCAAGAACCTCCCCGTACCTTCCAGTAAGCTCCACACCGCTCGCGATTGTTCGAGTAGTCAAAATGAGTCGGAAAGAGTAAAAAGCCCGCAGACAAAAAAGTTTTGAGAAAAAAAGGGGGTTCATTTTTATAAAACTGTAACTCATGTGACACTAAGGCACTTATTTAAGAATTTAACCAAAATGGTTTAAATTGGTTCTCATGTATCGGATTAAGCCTGGAATTGTAGGAAATTCAAACATTAAAAATTGGTTTAAATAACACATTAGTAACATCAAAAGACACAAAAAATCGCCGGTACACGTAAACTTAATTTTTGGGCGTAGAATCCAGTGGTGTTATCACTTTTTTAAAGTTAGGTCGTTTTCTCAAGATATTTGAAATTTTGTGTTTAAAAATTGTTTTGTTATTTTGCTATATATATATATATATATATATATATATATATATATGACTGCATCATTTTGTGCAATGAAAATACGATAATCCCTGGAGCGATTTTTGTATAGCACATTTTTGATCACCACACGAACTGACTCCCATGCATTTAACGCTGGTTCATGCACTCAAAATTTCATTAAAACTGTCGTCTTTTAGAAGTTTTCGGACATCAGGGCCGTTAAGTACACCTAAAAATTAATTAATTTTTATAAAAATGATTAAAGTAAAGTTAAATATTTTAAAATTACCTTCTTGAATCTGTTGGCTTGAAAGTTTGGGGAATGCTGTGTTTTTCTGGCATCCCATGGTATTTTCAATTACGCGCAGCGCACTAAACGTTTTATAATATTCTTCACAATGCCCACTTTAATATAAAGTTCTGGCAAAATAATTCTTTCTTCAAGTGGAATTAAAGGTGTCCAAGTGTTCTTGAGTAATTAATTAAAAATTAAGCAAAATGGTAAAACAAAAAAACTTAAATATTTAATATCTTGAGAAAACGAGCTAACTTAAAAAAGCGGATTGCACCACTGAATTATACACACAAAAATTCAGTTATAAATGTCCCGGCGTTTTTTGTGTCTTTTTGGTTTTTCTAAAAATATAAACAAATAATAAACCAAAAAATGTACAAACTTAAATATTAAATATCTTAAGAAAACGAGCTAACTTTGAAAAACTGATTACACTGCTAAATTCTACACCCAAAAATTAGGTTTACGTACATTTTTATGTGTCTTTTCAAAAGTTTGAAATTTATTTTTATTTGTTGTTCCTTTGTTAAAAAGTGTTGGATTGGGTTGGTTTGTTTTAGTTTTATCGTAACAAATCTTAAAATTATGACGTCACTCAGGACTGAACTTAAATCCCGCCTCGGGACGGGAGCCACAGCGTTAAATAATACCTACTTTATCATACTTAAATTTGGAAAAAAAATGTAAAAAAGAAAATAAGTAAAGCACTCTACTAAAAAGGAAGTTTATTACTGTACCTTGTTTACTGTAGTGTAGTGTATAATGAAAACAAGAATGTTTTCAATTAGATGGCGCTAGGCTAGAAATATTAAGGACTTTAAGCAAATCATTTTGTACTTTCGGCTAGGGATGAAGAATGCTGTATGGCATGACAATACTTAGTGTCATGAAAACATGGGCTTTTTAAAGGATGGTAGTAGAAAACAATATTTTCAAAAAAATGCCCTTTTTTATCGTGGTTGCCGAAATTACCTATAAATGTAGAATCGTCCTAATACGATCTAAAATTGAAAGCAAGTTTAAAAAAATAATAATATTGTAGTCATATTATTTTAATCCAGTTACTGAAATTTGTATTTTTTAAAGTATATATACAGGGTGTCCTGAAAATGGCATTAACGCCATACCACAGCAGGTCCTTATTCTGTGCTATATCATAATATGTCATATGGCATTTATGCAAACACCCCTGTTTATTATTATTAGGTAAAAACCATTTCTTTATTATTTTTTGTAATGAAAGCGATACAGACGACGGCTGTCACGATAGAATTATGCTTCTGGTAAAATGCGCGTACACAAAAAATACGAAATTGCAACCAATTTGACTCCTGTCAATGACAAGAGTCATATTGGGCTAAGCCGGGCGGCAACCTACTTGGGCGGCAAAATTAAATAAAAGTAAATATATCTTGCTTTTTCGTATGAAGGTAACTTCATACAGAAAGTTTTGCACTTGTTTAAGTCGACAAGCATACAAAAATTTGAAACTTATAATTTAGTATAGTGCTGTATTGTGAAATCAGCTAGACCAGTGATTTTTGCGAAATGATAAATTTTTCATTAATTATTAACTTTAATAAAAATCAAGTTTATATTTGTACAATCTATAATCAATCTGGTTGCTATTACTAAATTCACTAGAGCTTAAGTGTCGGTGTCGATGTTTAGTTTTTATGTTTGTCATGGCCAAAAATCCGCTTTCGCAAAAAAGTGAGTATGAGTATAAGAGACGTATAACCAGCCCCATTTCCTCTTGACTCTCGAACCCCGTACAGGCCTATGTTTACTTACGCCGATTTTTGTTCTTCCCCAGCAACTGCACGGCTTCACCCGTGTTTGCTGGGTGCGAATGTCCATTGCGTTCCGTACTGTCCCCTATTTGGGGCTCGAGAGCGAGAGGCGAATAGTTATAATAGCCTTTCCCGGGTTCGCCGAGCCTATGCTATACGCTCAGTGGGGTATGGAGGAGGGACGGGAGGGTGTTGGTTTTTGGGGGACAATTACGCCGACTTAAAACTAAGTACGACGCGGAATCCCCCTAGACCAGTCGATTAGTATTACTCCAAACATTTGGGATTACTATTTGGAGTTGGGGAGTTGTTATTTCGCTGCAGGGGTGTAGTTTCCTAGTCGAGGTCTTTGTCTTGTTCGTTATTGTCATTGTCCGTGTCCTGGTCAGATAGTTCCTGCCCTTGGTAAAGTGTGTCAGTTGTTTTTAATAATTTTTGTCCCAAGCACGTTTTGTGGTAGAGTTCCGTCTTTCTTTATCAAATTCCAAAGCATTGCATTTATTCACTAGTCAAACAAATCACAAGCGCGATTATTCTGTTGTCTAATGTTTACAAATCTCGAGTTTGGCTATTAGGCCCTTTTTTTTAATGTGTTAGAATTATGTGATCAATGTTAGTTTACTCTGTGAGACCAGTGTTTATTTTCGGTCTCGATTGGGACCGCCTTACGCATTTGCTGTTGACAGACTTATTGCCCCACGCCGCGTTCCTTTCATAGGTTTTAAAAATATCCCAATAAACACCTTAACGATACCTATCACCATTAACATTGCCCGTGTAAGAATTTTTAATACTTTTTAATACAATTTTGCAATGATAGTAATTAAAAACAAAACAATTGTTTAAAGAGTAAAATATGTTCT